TATGTTTATATCTGTCTCCATTTATTTTTGTCTGTCTCTCTCTCTGTTTGCATCGCTCGTTATATTTCGCTCTATCTCTCTTTTTGTCTCTCTCTCTTTGTCTGATTGCATCTATTTGTTTGTCGCTCTGTCTGTCGGTGTTTGTTGGTGTTTGCGGTCGAAATCTATCGGTGTCTGTTCGTGGCCGTCGTTGTCGATCGTGATCCGTTTGTTTATTTATTTGTCTGTCCGCTTATTTGTTTGTCTTCTTATTCATCTGTCTATCTGCCCGTTTGTCTGTCTAGCTATGTATCCGTCCGTCCGTCCGTCCGCTCGGCCGGCCGTCTTGTCGCCCGACTACTCGCTCGCTTCTCACCTATTTGACTACTTGTCTGATTGATTATTTGCCCTATTTTCATTACCTTTGCTTATCTTGTCTATTTTATCTGTCTTTCTTGTCCGGCTTGCTTTAATTGTCTTTTTTATATTATCGATCTTATTTGTCTTGATTGTCTTATTTATGCCTATTTTAATTGTCTTGACTAACGGTCTTGATTTCAATATGTTTATTATCTTGATTATTTTGACTATATTTGTCTCTGGTTTGCCTTTGTCTTTGTTTGTCTCTGCCCCTATTGATTTCTGCCCCTTGTCCCTGCCTGCTTGTTTGTCTATTTGTCTGCTTGCTTGATTATCTTTGCCTGGTTGAGTATTTGCTAGCCTGCTGTCTGATTGGATTGATCTATCTGTCTCTGATTATTGGTCCATTTGTCTATATTGTTGATCTCGATATCGGATTATTTGTCCGTATGTCTATAAATATTATAGATAAATATTACAGCGGCAAAATTATTTGTAGCCTCTTTACTCCGCTGTTGGAAGCAGGTCCGCTCTAGTTATTTATAAAAAAGAAATTTTCTTTTATTAATGGGTTAATATTTAAAGATAATATTTAATTATTTCATAATATAAGAGGCTTAGAAAATTTTTATTAGATAGATATTTTTGCAAATTCGTTATTTTAATAATATTAAAAAAGATAATTCTTTCTATATATTTCGACTTAGAATGAATTCTGAATTATTTTATAGAAATAAATTATTATAGATGATAGAAATCGATATTTTGAAGAATGATCTGATATATTTAGTTATATAGATACAAGGACGGCAGAGGAAGGTTACTAGGAGAGGAATAGATAATAGAAAATATCTCTTTAATTAAAGATATTTCTATTAATAATAAGAACGATATATTAATTGATACCTACAAATTGATAATAAATGATATACTCATGAAAATATAAAATATTTAAATATATATATAGTATTCTGAACTAGAAAGATCGAGATATAGAAAATATCTTAATTAAGATAATATTATCCTATATTTAGATAGATATATCCATCTCATTCGTCTTACACCAAGAGATTCTTTGCGCTTTCGGATATGATGGAGACCTTAGTCTTCCAGATAATTTAATAATTCCAGATTAATATATCTCATGATTCGATTAATATCAAATATCATATTCTTTATTTAGATCAGAGATTCCCGGCTTAAGATGCTTCTTCAATTTAGATATCTTATCTTTCTTGCTTAGATCTCGATTCTTTCGGATATTTATGAGTTTCCATAGATTCTAATCGCTAGCCGACAAAATATGTTCTAGTTCTTTGGAAAGTCGAATCTCGAAATAAAAACTTTCACACAAATCGATAAAATAGTGCTACCAAAAATTTTTTAACAATAAAAGAAAACAAGAAAATAAGATTTCGTAGTATTATACGTTTTTTAAGAAAGAGAAGGCGTAATTTATCTTCGGAATTTGTAACTAATTTTTATTATTTCGTAAATGAACCGGATTCTAAATTCGATATAAATAGCAGCTAAATTATTTTAATTATCGAAGAAAATTAATCTTATTTCGATACGAATATAGAAAGTTGCCTTAGAGGCAACAAGTCATAAAATCTTGGATTTTTAAAATACCGCTTCGAAAAGAACAATATTATTAGACGGAAAAGAAAAATCATGTAATTAATTATCAATAGAGATAAAAGAATAATAGCATGTTGATCTAGTTATTGATTTGCGTATTATTATCATAGACGAAAATTATTAAAGCTTCTTATAATATCGATTTGGAGAAGCCTATTTTTAATCTTATAATAGAAGATCTATATCTTATCTCTTAGGATATTTATTCGACTCGATCTTTAGAAAAAGTCGGATAACTATGAAATTGTTAGTCCGATCTATCGTGTTTTTATCGAGGCCGTCATATATATATATACATATATATAGTAAGAGCCATCTTCATATTCTCAATTAGAATAGAGTAAGTAAAATCATTATTACGATTATGAATAATCGGCTTCCGCATATGGCCACGGCGGACTCTTTCAGGAAAATCTATATATAAGCACAAATATGAAGCTTTACCAATATCTGTAAATAAGATTTTCACTACTCCAGGTTTGATGAAACAAATACTCCTCCCTGCCAGGTTTGCATCTTCTGTTTTTGTTTTGTCTGCCGAGATGGTTAATGAACTGCGATATCACCGCCACCAATGAACTTGTACCACTCCATAGTCCTCAGATTGGCGAGCTGTCGAAAACCTTCTTTCAGCTCTCAAAGAAGGCCCCCGCTGCATCTTCTTCTCCTGGTCGCTGTCCTCTGGCCCCGCCAGCTTCCTTTCGGGTCCCGTCCATGCAACTCTCACCTTTGCTGCATGCAAACGATCTGAGTAGGCCGCCGCCCCTGCGAATGAAGATGCTGACAAAAGGCCTATCCATCCGATCACATGTCAGGAAGATAACAAAGGGTTTCTTTCGGAAGCGTGCAAGCAACCGAAGGGCCATGTCTGCAGCCCGCCGTACTTCGCACAGTACTTACTGCTTGGGAAATGCCTGCCACTGCCTGTCTCGCATCTCGGCCTTCAAGCAGTGTCTCGGCATAAGCCACGGGCCGATACTACATTCATCATCTGAGGGATATGAGGCTGTCACCATTTTCTCTTGCTGCTGCTTCGGGTTCTCCAGCTTCGGAAGCTTAAACGGCCTGCCGTGGAGACTTGAGTGGCTAGCTTTCTGCGACCCTAGCCATGGGATCTTGCAAAATGCAAGCAAGCTGTAAAAAAATACTTGCCAGGCCGACATGGTAGTGATGCCACGCCTCTTAAGCAGCCGAGACAAGTACAAAGCAGCCTACAGTGCTTTCCTTCGTTCTCCCTTTATCGGCTACCACCGGCCGAAACTATGGCCGTGACCGCTTGAGTACCTCCTTGACTGTCTGAGGAACGAAGCTCGTCTTTTTGGAACTAGGCCTCTTGCAGGCCAAGAACACAACGCACACTAGAGTTATGCAAGCATCCGCGTTGAAATGGCCAGCAAGGGTCGGGCGCCAGAACTCCGACCAAAGCATGCCCCTTGCAGTCCAAACGATGATAGGTGGTAGCCCAGCAGCTTGTGACCAGTCACGGGAAGCTCAGGTCATCACTGCTACTATTCCTTGGCTACCGCGGTCTAGTGGCCTTGCTTCGGCAACGGTACTTCGACATGCCACTTCCATTCTTCAAAAGCGCAGCTTTGCAGGGTTCAGCAATCACAAGTTTGATCCTCTGGGCCCGCCCACACCACGAATCTGTTCCAATGCCATGCTGCCTGTTTTCATGCACAAGAACTGCGCACTCTCAGCATCATCGCAGCTGCTTTCCGGACATCAGCTTCAAGGTGCCGGCCAACTTGCGAAATCCGATACCCACAGCCAGGATGCCCATGGAGAGGCGGGCCTTGTCAGCCGTATTTCAGAAAAATGTGGAGCAATTATGCAAAATGAATCCTCGGCCTGCTCATCGACACGAAGAGCCTCATGTTTGCCGTGCACCGTTGCGCACGGTTGTCAACTGTCGAGTTTGCCCATGTTCGTCTGTGCGTCAATATCGGCCGAATCTGACTGGGGTGTGGGCAATGGGCAAACTCCCCGGTTCCTGAACTTCGCCCCCGAGTGTCACTACCTCAGTAAGACACAGGGACGATCACACCACCAAAATCTGGCTGGCACAGGTCGCTTCTGAAGAAACAGCAGGCACCAGGATCGACACTGAGGTAGTGCCTTCAGCGCTCAGCAACGACAGTGCCTGCACAGCACAGCCTTTTCGGCCGGTCAGGAATGGCATTTGTCACCCAAGGTTAGTCGTGATTGTTTCGCTGCACAGGGTGCCAAGCTGGAGTCCAAGCACTGTTGAACCGCCTGCAATCGCGTGGCAAAGTCGTCCTCACTGAAGCCATAGAGCGGGACATCTGCCCACATTGCGATGTCTCAGTGTCGCCATGAAAAGCATTCGCACGGCTTGCATAATGCATTTGCAGCTCTCAGCTTGCTGCGAGCACGCACGAGACCTGGCAGGTGCTGGCCTGCAGTCAAGCCGTTATACATTACGTGCCATATATCATTATATAACACATCATACACAGCATGTCTGTCGCCCAGGACTTATTTGCAATCTTTGTCCCGGACAGTGAGATTTGAACTCCTTGTAAGTGCCTTAGTAGGACAGTGGCGGTTCTGTCAGCAGGGCTGGTGCAGCCCGGAATCGCCCAATGAGGGGGCGTGTGTAAGACATATGGTGAACATGCATAGCTGAAGCATATTCGCGTGTGACTATGCGAAAGTGCTGTAAGTGACAACATTTTCACATCGGTTCAAGCTTCTGAAGAATCGCGAGCGCTGGAATTTACAGCCTCGGCCTAAGCAGCTTCTGACTAGGGCTCGTGCTGCGAGCATCCTGTGTAAACAAGAGGATGCGCAAACCAGATTTGCACCATGTGCTGTAAATAACAGGATGGGAGGAATTAGGCAAAGTGTGAAGAAATGTGTGAATAACTTTAAAGGAGCATTCCACCTGGCCATACTTGCAGATGTTCTCGGACAGGAAACACAAGAAAACAAAAACAAACAACACAATCTCGCACCTCATCATACATCTGAAACACGCCCCTGATTTGGTGCTGTTTAGCAGAAAGCTCATGGTGGCTTGCGATAGCAATTCCGGTTCAGCACATATCTTAATCACCCCCTTCATTTGGCGATTCCGGGTCATCATCATCATCATCATACATATAAATGTATGTATGTGTGTGTGTGTATATATACATATATATATATGTACAGCGATGCCTTAAACACGCCCCCTCGTTTGGCGATTGCGGGTTGTCATATATCTTAAACACGACCCCCTCATTTGACGATTCCGGTTCATCATATAATATCTTAAACTCCCCGCCACATTTCGCGGAATTTCGCGATCATATATCTTAAACACGCCGCCTTATTTGGCAATTCCGGGTCAACACGCATCTTAAACACGCCCCCTCATTTGGCGATTCCAGCTCATCATACATCTTCAAGACGCCCCCTCATTTGGCGATTCCGGGTCATCATATATCTTAAACACGCCCCGCTTTTGGCGATTCCGGCTCATCATATTATCTTAAACACGCCGCCTTATTTGGCGATTCCGGGTCAGCATACATCTTAAACACGCCCCCTCATTTTGCGATTCTGGTTCATCATATATCTTGTTCACGGCTCCTCAATTGGCGATTCCGGGTCGTTAAATGTCTTCAACATGCCCCCTCATTTGATTCCGGGTCATTGTATATCTTGAACACGCCCCCTCAGTTGGCATATCTTGAACACGCTCCCTCATGTGGCGATTCCGGTACATCTCATTATATATCTTCAACACGCCCCCTCATTTGGCGATTCCGGGTCATCGTATATCTTGCTTAAACACGCCCCCTCATGTGCGATTCACATATCTTAAACACGCCGTCTCATGTGGCGATTCAGCCCAGACCCTTGAGGCGCAGGTTGGCTTAAATCGGATTGGGTGGCCCCTCCCCCTTTGCAAACACCTCTGTATCACGGATTCTGAAAGGGTCCATATGGGCTCTCTGTAGTAGTGGTGGTAGTAGTAGCAGTAGTATCAGCAATAATAACAATAATAATGTTGGTAGTAGTTCTAGTAGTAGTAGGTCGTGGTTATCGTGGGCCTCAGAACTCACTCAGTGGTTCGGAGAAGAAGAAAACCAGAAGTGCGGATAGGAGGAAAGCCGAGCAGGACGAGACCTGAAGGATGAGGGTGGAAAATGAAAAACGAAGCCGACAAGCAGAGAAGCGGAGGAGCATGAGAGCGAAGCATAAAAGCAGAGCAGAAAGCGGAAAAGCATAAGCAGAAGCAAGAACAAGCAGAAAATAAGCGGAGGAACAGAAAAGCGAAGCAGCCAGGCAAAGAATGAAGCGGGAAAGCAAAGAAGCAAAAAAAGCAAAAGCACAAACAAGCAGAAAACACAAAGCAATCAAAAGCAGCAGGTAGAAGGGAGAACAGGAGCAACGCATATAACATCCAAAAAACACAAAACATCATACAATACAAAATAAGCACCCCAACTCTAACAGCGTGTGGTTTTCCAGCAGACTCTAGTGCTGGAAACTCATGCGCCAACGGCCTCTTTGACTAAACAATTTGGGAAGCTCATCAGTAGCGGAAGCGATGATAATATGAGAGTGCCTCCATCTGCTGTAGGTGCCAGGCCCATGAACCGAGCAGCTCGTGCCACACGGTCTCCAATCCTGCCTTCTTCCGTGGGCCTGTCCATGCGCGACGTTGAGCCGAACTTGAAAGCTCGGCTGGCTTGGTGGCTTGGCTTCACTCAGGAGAGATCGCATGTCACTCGTGTGTGTTGGTCTAGACCACGCACAGCAAGCATGGTGCTTGTCTTCAGCCCGTCTGAGGATTCGCTTAACGAACCAAGAGCACCTCAGCAGCGTGCCGTAGGGCCTTGGCTGCTCAAGGCTCTGGTCACGGTTGCAGTCGTAGCAGAACATGCATCAGTGCGGATCAGCTGAGGCTGCTGCTGAGGAGGCTGCCCGTCCTTGTCAGGGCGGAATGCGCCGATGTCAATGTAGACCTGGCCATGTTTCTATTGTGGGAGGCGACCCGGCAGTATCTAGATGATGTGTTTCCATGAGGCCCTAGGCAACTGAGGCAACCGACAACCATCACGTTGCGCACTTCAGGACCTCAGGATGGATCCAATGCTTCGCTCTACTCAGGCTGACGGATGTGACGACAGCAATGAGTGCAGAAACTGACATCCTCGCCCCATGTTCCAGGGCTCTCACACCTCTTTAGGATCACGCTCCAATCCTTGTGTGGCAGGGTGGCATGAGAAATTATGGTGGACTGAGTGCAGCGATTTAAGTTGTTGGCCAAGTAATCCGAGAAGCACGACACACAGACATGCACACACCGGTTACAATTGCTGCCGCGATTCGTAGGCAGAAACTTTTTACACAGCGAGGCACACTGACAGCAACTGCACGAATCATATCGGCCTGTGCCACGAAAGAGTGCGTCGTGTCCCGCCGAAAGAGCTTTGTGGCACACAGTGGCGCTGACTGCAAGGCAAGGGAGGGGGGTGCCTCCGCATGTGTTACCGCACCACACGCCCAAGGAGACTCACTTTTTCGGACATCAAGTGTTTTGAAAGGTTGCAGACGCACTTCCCCATAGGCTGAAAAGGTGTACGAGTACAGCCCCAGCCATGATTCGGCCGAAAACGAGCTCTTCGAAGTTCTACAGAGCAGTTCCCTGGAAGCACAATGCTGCAGATTTAGACGCAAGTGCAAGGCCAAAGCCGAATGGAAAACCGAATCTTCAAAATGCTGTTCTTCGTGGCCACAGAACAAATCGATACGAGCTGCAATCGAGCTACAGTTGCAACTTGAGAAGCTGAGGCCCACGGCATGAGGCTCTGCAAAGGGTGCCATGTTTCCGTCAAGAATGCAATGCCTTGGCATGAATATCAGCAGTTCGCTGCATGATACACCATGTTGTAACACGAAGCTAAGCATCGCACACCACGAGCTCCGACTGCTTCGGCCTGTCGTGTCACAGGGCTTCAGCAAGAGATGATCGAGAATCGAGACCGGTTGCAAACGCCTCCCCGATGATCTAGTCAGATGATCCGCCACATTCTGAGGACCCCGCAGATCAAGGTCTGCCAAAGCCACCCCAGCCAACAAAGACAGGGGCAAAGCCTTCAAAGCACGGTTCTGGTGACAGTACGGCTTCTAGTTAGCTCTTCGATGCCCTCGAGAAGCGACAGCATGCACGGGTCCGACTCTGTCTGAGCTCCAAAGTCTCAGCTTCGAACTCGCTTCTGGTAGAACGTGGCCTCTCTGCGACCCAAAGATTCCTTGTCAGATCTGCTTCGTCGAAGGCTACGTGTCCGGAGCGCAATGTGGGCGCTGCTTTCCAGATTTTATCGTCGAAGTCTTCGCCCTCCAGTGTCGGCAGGCCATCACATTACAAATATGCTGAAGCTTCCATGAGGCCTCCTCCCAGTCTATCTTTTTGGTGCGCCTCAGCAAAAAGCAATGCTAAACAGCTTCTTCGAGAGACATTTTCGGTCTGGTTTCTGCTCGGAGAAGGGGCAGGAAGTGCAGCGTCGAGGCATTTTTTGCATGCACCCGGAAGGCAACGAATGCCTTAATCAAAGCAATGAGTCCGCAGCAAGTCGAAAGGGCTCATCATCTGAATCTTTGGTGTGCACCAGGCTTCTTCCTCAAAGCAAGGCAATCACGGAGGCCCGTCCCCGAAGTTCGATCTTGGGGTGCTTGCTATCTCTGCTTTCTGTGTGGCTTGCTTTGCCTGAACCGCATCGAAGCACATGGTGAAAGGATGACCGCATTTCGCTGAAGGGCCTCCGGCAGCTGCTCAGGCACGGCCTTTTCTTTGTCAAGTGCTGCAGACCACATTTTCTTTTGCTTGTCGTCCTTGAATTGCACAGTGTGGGAGCAGGATATACGTCCGGCTCCTCTCATGTCCGGACAAGGACAAGCAGCTCCGGGTTTGGTTGAAAAAATGTGAGGGCAGCACTGCTTGACGCCGCCGCCTCTTCCACTCCTGCAAGCATCGTGTGTGGTGTGGGGCTCCCTGCTTACACGTAAGACTAGTAGCGGACCTACTCGCTATGTTTGTCGAACTAGGGACCTTCGACGTAGTCTCACTGTAAACACACTGTGTCGCTTAGTTGTCTTTGCCGGCAACATGCTCTATTTTGGAGCTGTTTAATTGAATGTGTTAGCTGACAAAGACTCGGCCTCTCGTTTTTGCGTAGCCAGCTTTGTACCTCGCACCGTCGCAACTTGAAGTAAGTCTGCTGTGAAGCCTGCCATCTGATCTTCACATGGCAACGATGTCAGTCAGCGACAGCAAGCGAGACCAACTCCATGGCAGACATGATCACCATTGAGTACCCGAGCACAGTATGAGTGCCAGTGTGATTTTCGGGACTACAGAGAAATCCTTGTTTTGCTCACATCTTTGTGCGCGAAATCACATCGCTTGGTGATGTCACGGATGCCTGCTGTGAATTGACGTGACTGGCCATGTGGAAAAACTTGTGCCAAGCCTCAGGAGGCCAAGTCGAGGAGACAGTGCTGACAGAAAAGAGAGGAAGGCAGGGAGGCAGGAACCGCGGGAAAACGACAAGGCAGGTTGACCGTTTGTCGTTCTGAATTTCTTGTAGGGACCCGTTGCACTGGCAATTTTCAGGTTCTCGTTTTCTGTCCGGTAGCGTAGCTCTTCTGGAAGCGAATCTACGCTTCCCCCGCCAACATCGCAGCGACATGATGCCAAGGGTATCTGTAAGCAAGCTTGCGAAGTGCAGAGTCGGATCGACTTCCGCAATCTTACAGGGTCGACGCGAAGATGTTGCTTTATGTGACCTAAGACATCTTAAGCCTCCAGCTTCCCTTGTAGACAACAAATACCGTTTCATGGTCGGATTCTTCGCGATCTCAGGCGTCAAGCTCGACATCTTGAACGATCAGACTTGACTAGACCAAGAACGGATGCAACCACGTGCCTTCTTCGCCCGATGCCTGCAGCTTTACAGCTGCCTGCACTCGCTCGTTGCGCAGCTCTGTTGCAGCTCTGCGCCGTCAAAGATAATTACTCCAAAATCGCAGTCGCGCCTCTTCTGCTTCGTGCCAGTCGCACAGCTCTCCAAGTGCATCAGCTTTGCGGTACAGGGCCTGTGCTCCATGTATATACATCTTATGATGTCCTGTGCTTCGCCTAAGTGCAAATCTATGCACTGGGCCTTCACGTTGCCTGGCTCGTCGAACAAAGCCTCGTCGCAAAATCCGACGGCTTGTCGAAACCTGCACGTGCTTGTATCCCACCGGAGCATACCACATTGCACACAAAGCATGCTCAAACCCCCTTCTCCGGCCAGCAATCCTAGGGCTGCGACTTCTTTAGCCTCATGTGCGCCAAGGCCTCGACTCTACAAACCGTTGACCTGTGGAGCTCATCAGCTCGCTAGACACTTCGCTTGTTTGTCCTTGGGCGCCTGCGAGATTTAGCAGCAATGCGACTCTCATTTTGAGAACACGGCCATCCTCTTTCTCCTGCTGACAGGTAACCGAACTACTGGGAGCTGACGCAAGCGATTCTGAAAATCTGGAAGTGCTATGTAAAGTCTGCGACGACCTCGGCCTCTGCGTGCTTCGAGCCCTGGAGAATTCCAATCCTGTGAGGACTTTCTGCTGCCTGGAAGACTTGAAGAAGCTTGCACCCTTCGCTGCGTCTTGGAAGCGTGCAGGCCCCGTGTCCCACTTGACGGCCTCGCAGGGGATGGATGCCTAGCACTGCGATTCCACGAGGCACCTTCCGAGTTCGGAGCGGGATGGAGTCCAAAGCTTGCAGCCAGCCTAAAGGCGCTCTTTCTGACTTTGGGCTACAGTAGCACCCTCACAAAAGCAGCCTCACGTTCAGAGTCCACGGCATGTAATGGCTTCATTCACTTCGCCGCGAGCGAACTTGTCCTTGCCCTGGCCTTTGAGATGGTCCTCGGAGCCACTGGAAGGAGGACTCTTCCACAGCTCGCTTGACGATCTTGACGGCACTCCGAGCACCCTTGCAGCTTGCTCATAACCAGGAAGTTCCTCGACATCCTGCTTTCAATTTCACTCCCAGCACCTCTCTTTTTCTTTGATGCTTTATGCAGAACGACTCCACCAAGTAGAAACATATTCCGTTACCTGGCTGGCTGAATACAAGTCAGTATGCTATTGTACTCAACAGGGTTGGGCCCCCGCGTTCGTTAGTTTCCCGACCAAACTGACTGGACACGTATGACGTGTCGCCCCGAAAAGTTGCTGGCCTGCAGGGGGGCGGGTGGGGCGCTTTCTGCCATCGTGTACTCGTTGCAGCTCACTTCAAGTCAACTACCACACGACGTTTTTGTGCTTGATGGGCGTGGCGACATCTGTCAACAAGTCCGTCACTGTGCAACACGCTAAAGCGGCAAACAGCCGCAACGAAACCTACCATGCGTGTCGTGGCTACCCTTGCGGCGATGGCTCGCTACATTCAGTAGCGCCCTCGCCGAGTGCAAGGACCAACACAGGTGCGTCGAGCGATTAAGGCCTGTACAATCGACACATTGCAGGCATGGAGCTTTCAGTCAGCCTTTGGCTTTCGACTGTCTGCTCCGCAACTTGTAGCATTGACATTAACCTTTTTCAGTTACAGAGGAAGGCTCGCGAAGCACTGACATTGTCCACTAGTGTTTCTGGCTAGATTCTAGATGCCGAACTCAGGGTGCGCCACACCTTCCATTTCTACCATTGAGTGGCTCAGCCGAATGCTTTGAACAATTCTCCTCAGCTTGTACTCACTGCTCGAGAAGAAATCCCACACCAACAGTTCGATTGTTCGACGGACAACAAGCACTCAACCACAGAGGTAAGGTTCGAGTGGTCTGAGCGGGCAAGTCCTGCCGAGGGATCGTGGCCATTGCCTCCAAAAGCGTCAGCAGCTGCGCGGACTCACCCTGCACGGCATGCACAACACTCTGAGTTGTGGATGTGGTCCGTAAATCGGAGTCAGGTTCCGGGCGACATTTCTGGGATCCGAAGACTGACTCATCCAAGCGGTCTGACCAAATTCTTATCCTCTGAAGTCTCCGTACCATGCATCCCGGTGATGCTCAGGGCCTTGTGTGTTTGTGGCCGATCGGGGTGCACTGTTGCATCCAGACCCCTGCGCGACGGATGTTTTATGAACGGTACATGCAGGAATGGGAGCACTATCTGAAAGCCAGCTAGGATGAAGAAGCGTCCACAGGCAACTGCAACTGTGGTCTATAGCTGTATTCAAGAGTTGCACACCCGAGACACCGGCTGCCTGGCAAAAGATTCCTGCAAGCACGGCTGCATGAGTGAGTGCGGCTCTCTAAATGGAGAGTGGTCCCAACAAGCCCGACATACTGCTGTTTGTCACTACGCATGAAACTCATCCCGGAAGAGGCTCAGCTTAACAGGCTCGACAGGGCGGTAAGGGCCCAATCTCGAAAGGAAAGAACAACGTTCGTTTGACTTCCACCTCTCCAGGGGTATTCTTTATTCAACGAGAAAGTTGATTGAACAAGGAAGAACTGGGGCTAACACAGTGTTCGAGACTGTGCAGAGTGTGATGCTTACAATCAGCACCGCCTTATTCCACAACTGGATGCCACCAAGTCTCTGTACATGTCATTGAAGGAGTAGCCAGCAAGTTGGCAAAACGTGGTTCACGTGCCCAAGCATCAAGAAGGAATCGACGAGGACGTGCCCCGCGTGAAAGGAGCAAGCTGACCACTTCGCGGTTGCCTGCCTCCCCAGCATAGGTCAATGCCTCGCATGCAGCTTTCTCGACAGAGAAATGAGAAATGACCGGGCATGACCGGGCTCTCATATCTCGCTGTTCACCATGATGACAAGAAGCTGTGCCACCCTGCTTGTCAACAGCATCCAGCCCGCATTTGCAAAAGATCAAGAATTGCGCGATGCGAGTTTGCCTTGTCTGACATCATGAAGCACTTTTCATATCTCTCTTGCATTATTAGTCTTTTTTCGATAGCTCCCTCTCCCTCTAGTTGTACTCCAAGCATCGATTGCCGGCACGGATTTCCCAGAGCGTAGAAGAAGCAACTCCTCGCCAACAACCTAAACACCCTTTCTGCCGGATCGTTTTGAATACGAAGCTACCACCACAAGCAAAGCCTCAACTCGTGGTCTCTCCTCTCGGGGGAAAGCTCGTGAAAGTATTGACTTTTGTTGCAGACGGCACGTTGCTGTTGCGTACAAACGGATCGCAACGGGCATGGACCTTGGTCGGGCTTGGGAACCGCAGAGGATTGCACGGCAGGACATTTGTGGTCGTTGTTGGTGCCGGTGCAGCTTGGTGACATGGAAGTGGCCAAAGAAGCGTGCCTTCTGTTCTAGTGATTCTAGTGCTTGCCCATCATATTTTTGGCCGCACCGGCCAATGAAGCGTGCCTTCTGTTCTAGGGTTTGCCCATCATATTTTTGGCGGCACCGAATTGGGGGTCGCGAGCGACGACTGTGCTTAGCCCAGCGATTTGACATACGTCTGTTTCTAGATCTGCTGGGCCCATTGTGACTCCAAAGGCTCACGTACCCAGGTCAGCTGTTCGGGCGGCCACCTTTTCCCATGGCACACAGCATCCCATCCCATCGTACAACTAATCTGGGCCTCGAGCCTGCAAATTTCTTTCTAGTTCATGACAAAACTCTGCTGGAGACATGACCTGTTTTTAGATTTTTTAGGCTGTAAACGAAGGCCCGTTCATGCCATCTATGTCATGACAGGAAGCAAGTGAAGTTCGACAGCGGAACCAGGCAAGTTATGCAGAGTGGGCATGGATGTGTGCGATCGCCGGCGACACATCCCGGACATGGTTTGCTCTCTTGTGCAGCGAAACTGCACTCCTGGACATCCGGCACATTGACAACTGCATAGCACTTCCGCATGATAAAGTGGCAAATTTCTGACGCAAGTGTCCTGCCCTCTGCATCCCTGGCATGTACCGAAGATGGGGTGTGCTCGGCCAACAATTGGACCACTCCTAGATGCAGCTTCGAAAGGCTTCAACTTGCAAAAAGCTCTACGGACGGCATAAGTCTGCGGCAAGTAGGTGCGGAGGTGATTAGGTGGCATCAAAAAGGACTGCTACAAACACAAGATTAGAGCCAAGGCTCTGACATCGTTCAAACAAGCAACATGCGCAGCGTTCCTCCCCATGTGGTCCACATCAAGAGGATTCGCACGCCATTGCTTCAAGAGCCGCCTCGAAAGTGTGATTAGTCCGCTTCCCTGGTTTCGTCTGGCTATCGTTCATAGTCTGCCTGCAGACCCACAGATGTCTGATGCGTGGGAATAATTGAGATCCAGCTGCTGTGTCAGCTCTGTGTGGCCGTATAGGGCTGCTCGTGCAAGCAACGTTGCTCCATTGCGGTCTCTGCTGTCGGGGCTGACGCCCGCTCGCAGAAGGAGCTCCTCGGCAGGAGAGAGCCAATGATTGCATCAGCTCTTCGCACGTCTGTCTCTGCATGAAATGGACCTGCTGCCATGCTTCGCAGCAAGCAGTGTGGCCTTTTCCTGCTGCCAGGTGTGCACAGACACCACCCAGCTCAGGAGTCAGCGGACCCTCCGATCCACGTTGAGGTACGAGCAGCCTGCGAAGCCTGGCAGCTTTTTTCTACCTGCACAATTCTGACCCGGGTGTGAGGCTGTACTGCGCTGGGATTTGGTTTCGAAGTCAACTCCATAGGGGCCGCTTGTCTATCCGGTTTGCAAAGTCCAGCACGGTGAATTTTTGTTCAGACAGCCACGCTCAAGGCGGCAACTTGTGATACTTAAACCAATAGCTTCCGTAGTGATTTGGCTCTCGTCACTTTCCGGCTGCTTTCAATTCCACCCTATTATAATTCACTATCGTGCGAATTGTTCCTCTTGTCCTCATTTCGATGGATGAAACAAATCCACGCCTCATACAAGCTTCTGAGCAGTGTGGGAGTTTGGGGCTCCGAACAAAAAATCCGTCCGAATGCGCACTCAAACGCAAACGATGAAGTGCGCACATGAACATGCCGAGTGAAGGCTTGACTTGGTGATCCTACGTGCACACTTCGCCGTGACCTCGGCAGATCACCTCGCCGGCCTCTGCTGGGATGCAGTGGGATTCATGGACACCACTCTGTTTTGAGGACGAAGGAGCTTTTTTGGATTCAGTCGTGTGCAGCTGGGGTACAAGCAACGAGTATCTTGTCCTCGATTGGCACGCTGGTGCTTCGCACAGTTGCGTTGAAGACCACCTCCACGAGCACTTTAACTTTGCGGCTGGTTTGCATGAGCTGCACTTGCTATGACATGAGTTCCTGGGGCCAGCCTTTCTGCCTTCTGCTGGCGAGGCGGATCTCGAAGCACTGGGACTCTCAGCCTCGCAACTCGTTCATCTCGCGGGAGGCGGGGGGGCAACTACGTGTTGAATTGACTTCCCTTTAGTTTACGAAGCTTCGCTGTGCTGCAGTCTAGGCTCCAACGTTCCTGTGCTTTCCGCCAGCAGGGTTGCAGTGGTGGAGCCCGTGTCTGCGAAGGTCCGATAAGCCTCCGCGCACTTTCTCCAAACAAGACACGTTCCCCAGAGGTGAAGTTGGTGCTCCCGGGATGAGTCCAAGGTTCTGTCAAGGGTTTTTCTGTGGTCGGCGAGGGCGCCGGCGGATCTGCCAGTATGTAGTCCACCAAGTCACCTCGGCGGGCACAAACAAGCCGAAGCTGCCTTTGACATACGTTGCTGCAAGTCACCAGGTCCAGTATGCGGGACCGTGACCGTTGTCAATGTAGTGGAATGCTCCACTTATAGGTAGACTGCTGTGTGTAGATACTTGCAGGGGCCTGGGTCTTACCCCTACCCTCCCCGGACATACGAGGGGCACGTAAGGGGACAATGGTCAATAAAGAAAGGCCCTCGTGTTTGGGGCAGCTGGCAGTAAGTCAGTACTGAAAGACCTGCGATTTCTCCTTGAGGTGCCTCCCCCCCCCCCGCTCATACCTCCTGACCCGACAGCAAAATCCAGTACTTCTCTGCAACTGTGTCTGCCGTTTCGGTGCTGGGTGTTCGAACCACCTTTCCACTTGTACTGGATCCTTGCGTTTGGGGCAAGTCGGAATTATGCTTCAGTTTGCTGTTCTCCCAGTTGTGGGTCCTGGGCTCACAGAATTACAGAAAGGAGCCCTGCGGGGGTCCGCATTTCCCTGCACAAGCTTTTTTGCGTTCTATCGATTGTCACGGTTACAAATTGAAATGGCTTCAAACTTGTTCCAGGTGAAAAAGGTCTTAATATGCGCGCGCGTTCCGCCTTTAGAATTCCAGCCCAACCTGTTACAACTACTGACGGAAACTTGAAGCCTGCACTATAGGTCTTGAAAGCATTCGAAGACCTCCTCAACTCCGTTGTCGCTTCGAGCAAGCCACCGATTCGCACAACATCGGCATCTTCAAACGCCAACCTGAGTGGCATATCATGCAATGCGCAACTTCGTCCGCATACCGTTGAACTTAAGTTCATGCTCCTTCGTGAATATGTCTGCGAGCAGGCTGCATGTCGAATATTCCAGCCAGCTCTTTGTCCGACACGTCGCTCGCAGGAACACGGAGCTTGAGGCGTACAACTCGCCGAAATTGGTCAGGGCTAAGCAAGCCTCTCAATGAAAAATGTGGGCCGGAAGGCATACGCTCGCAAAAAGGCCAGGACAAGACAAGTGCCAAACAACATTACGAACTTCTCAGGCCGTCGAGGCCTCTCCTTTCCACATCGAGTTTACGCCACAATCCTTAAACATCGAACGCAAGAATTGCTCATCTGCAAAACAAGCCTTTTCATGCTTTATGCTGGCAGGGCGCGTTCAGCGACTTGATCGGGGACACAACCGCCAGCATATGCTCCGCACCGCAGACTGCGCAACACCCAACAGCATGCTCGGCACTGTCAGATGTTGAGAGCATGCGAAAGAGCCTTGTGACAACATGCCCTCCATCAAAATTGGAAACGGACGGAATTGCGACGAAGCTGACGAGTGACAATGGCAAGCCAGCAAATTGTGAACAACAACCGGCAAAGCTAAGTCGTGAATGCCCAGATTACGACTATGAGTACACCTATCATCATCCATCGTACAAGTATGAGTGTTAAATCTGATTGGCAAGCTTTGCAGGCCTAACATACTACAAGAACTTTCACTTCTTTCCGTTTGTTGCGCAAGTCTGCGATTAGGCTCAGCGGGGTTTAGGATCCGTGCCTTGTGCGAATGTTCTCCACTTCCCAGGCCGGGAGACTCTGGCACCTCTCATCTTCAAGACCATGATGCCACAACCCCTATGGCATCACATGGACAGACAGGAACAAACATGCGGACAACGCACATCCCTTCGTCTACTTACTGCTCTGCAAGCCAAGTCTCGCCCTCGACCGTGGACGATCCACCAAGGGACAGCTTGGTGCGGGCAGCTTGCGGGTGCTTCGCCTGCCAAGCTCTGCGCCTCTCGGGCAAAGACTTGCAAGCAACTGGCATTTCCCGGCCTGGGTGAGCGCACGGATGAGCTTTCCCAGAGCTCGCGCGGTGAGTCTGTACGGTGTGTGTAGCGTCTCCAATTCGGTGATGGAGGCCTAGTCCTGAGGCGGGATCAGCATTACACGCATCATTGCAATCACAGCCACATGCACCATTCATCATCACCAGCATCAGCAGCGGAACCCCGGGATGATGGTGATGATAGTTGTTCCGCAACATCACCAGCTCAGTTATTGACAATCACGAGCATGTTCATCATCCTCCTCATCATGGCTTCCAGAACTTGCGGCCGGTAATTCAGTATGTCATGTGTGAACAGGAAGATTTTGCGGGACAACTCCACAGCTGACTTCCAAGCGAAGTTGCTCAGCGTTCTCTGGTCGCAACGCTTCCCAAGTGTCAGCTGCGTCCGGCATCTTGGCCAGTGCGATTACTTCGGAAGACTTACTACATTGTAAGAACCTTACAGCATGTGCTGGTCTCATGGTGAACCACGGGAGTGATAATCGTTGCTGCATGCTGCTGTTTAGTGCATGCTGTTGCTGCTGCTGCTGCTGCTGCTGCTGTTGCTCTGGTGTGACTTGCCGTGATTCCCATGCCGTTAGCTTTTGATAATCAATGCGTGCGGGCAAGCTAACGCAACCGGTCTGATGCTGTCACATCCTGGATCTGGGAGTCTACGCACCATCAGTTTCCTCTGAAACTGCGACTTTTTGTTTCATGTCTTCGGCCGCCACAATGGCTGCAACATGTACAAGTTGCAGTGGCAAGACAAGATCTACACCGGCAGTCTCCAGTCATCCTCTCCAAAACCCCTCTGTTGATGCAACATTGCTGGTAGCTGCATGTGCTCTGCTCGAGTCTGTGATGCCTTCGGCTCCTGAGGCTCTATGTCGGAGCTGAGCACGGCCTGACGAAGCTTTCGCGCGGAACTGAGCTTTGACTTTCCTCTCAGGTTGTTAGGAGCATGTGTCCAGCCTTCTCCGGCTCTTGGTGCACCTCATCGCTTTGCCTGGCTATGCGCCCCAGTGTGCCGCTTTCGCTCGTTTCACAAGGTGGGGTATATCGACGATGAGTGAGGGCAGCAAAAACTCCGAGATTAGAACCAGAGCCGTGGCCTGTCGAGGCTTGTAGAGCTGCACTGCACCTCACTTGGAGAGCTGCTGCTCTGCTGCTTCAATTCCAGGAACTCGGAACTGAGCTGCAGGGTGCTTCTGTCCGTTTCTCTTCTGCCACTCCAAGGCAAGCTGTAGCAGTGAGGCCTTGTTTTCCGCTACCTTTCAGCGGGCATGCATGGTTCGCCAATCAAACGCCAGGAATGGCATCCTGAGTGATCGTCTGAATCTTCTCAGACACGGGTAGTACAGCAGTAATTACTGCATCCCTTCGCTGAAACATGTTGAAGCCATTTCTTGAGACAGTCTTGTGCAGGCCGCCGGCCCAGGCAGCTTGCTGCTGATCTCTGGTTTTGGGGGCCGCCTTGGCCACCATCTTCGGCCTCAGGTGTACGATACGCTGAGCCCTTCCCCAACATGCCCAAGTAACCGAACTAGTTGTCTTTTGCCTTCACCTCACCTTTCAGTGCAGTCCGACCACGCGGAACGTGCGCCACGGGGTGGTGAATATGTCGCAGAACTGGTTGGGGAAAACGCTTCCACAGCTCGGCCGTAAATGTCACACCATCCTGTTCCGGGGATGTAGAAAAGATCCTGACCGCGGCGGACACTGTGAAAGCTCGCCCCAAAAGTGAGGCCCCAGCAACACCGAACGATGCCTCCTCCTCGTGGCCCGTCGGGCGCGGCGGCTCGACGCTCTCTGCAACAGGCATCGCAGGCCTCACACTCACGAAATGTCCCGAGTTTCTGGCTCCGCAGTCTGCATTCATCTACTTGCAGAGCAAGCTAATTAAGCCGTTCTTAAGAACAGAAACTCGTAGTGCAAGTAAGCTTCTTTGGCTTGGCCTCTTGCAGTAAGCCTTTTGCTCGCATGGCGGCAATTCTGGTGGCTTCTGCTGGCGTCAAATGTGCCGTTGGAGCCTGAGATGTTCAAAAGATAGTCAACCATGGAAAGAAGCTCAAGCTGCTCCTCCGCCTTATTGCTTGTTGCAGCTGCAGCACCACTTCGGGAAGCTTCTCAGCCACGAAAGTCTCGGGTTGAAGAGGTGGGCCTTCTCCTCGTTCTTGCATTTCCCATGATGCAGCCTGGATGATCTCTTCGAGTTCCATTCTCCATGTCAGGAAGCCTATGTAGACAGTGGCAGCCCCTCTTCCAGCCTGGCTCTCGATTGGAGCTTGCGCTCGTGGTACTGCTTGTGGTGCACCCAGCTGCTGAAAGCCTTCCTTGATGCACATGATTCCAACATCGGACACTGTGCGGTGAAACAATCTACCACTAGACGTGGCCATGCTGTTGAACCAATTGGCAGCCCGTGCCACCACCAAGTGTTTGCAGGGCAGTCCGCTTCAACCACTCAGCCCACATGCGTGCCAACTCGGTCCATTCATGCGTTGCTTCCGTGTGTCTTGACTCATGGGTAGTCGACCTGACCTGATACATGTCCGGATGCCTACCATTGCCTACCTTTTGTTGACCCCATTCGGTAGCACTCCTCAGCCAAGAGTCAGGACTGGGCGTGGGTGGCCTATCATCCCAATCCAGCGGTGCCTCATGCTCTACAAATTGTCGGCAGCTGGGAACCAAACTGACTGACAGTCACAGCAATGACGCCACGCCACTTCTGGAACTTCTGGATAGACTCCTTGTCGAATCCAACGACAAACAAGCTGCGGAAAGGTGCAGTGTTAAGTGGCTATGGGTTAGGATGCAGCGACAGTCGTAGTGAATCAGACATCAAACACTCAACTGTGGTATCTCATAGCAGGGCTTCCATCACGAGCTGACAATCCCATTTTTCAATCAACTGTCATGCATGTTGGCCCAAACTAAATATGATTCTGCGCGATTTTTCTGTGCGCTCCCTCCTGTCAGCAAGAGCATAAGTCTTGGAACTTCGTGGCTTGCTTTCCCCATCATCACCTTCCTCTGGTTGTAAGCTGGCGATCGCTTCCATATCTACGACCAACCGGAGCAAGAAGAGGGAGGAGGAGACTTCGGGCTTGGCTTCGGTGCAGATATTCTGGTTAGCTTGAACTTGATGAAACTGCAGACGGGCCGTTTTTCCTGGAGAGAAAAATCTTCCTTGGGTTTCAAGCTTCTTGAGCCACTCTTCGCAGTGGCTTCGCTGGATCGCACCCGAGCTTGCGCAAGCAAAGGACTGGGAGACATCTGTCTGCGTTTCCTCTTGAGGATGTTCCCAGGCAAAAAAACGGGGTCAGTTGAGAGAAAACTTGTAAGTTGGCGTCCCAACCATGGTGGCTGATTGTGCTTTGATGGTGGTTGAGGCTGCTGAGGCCAAATTGCCTTCATTCGTCTTCACTCCGCGCCCTATACCTCCCCGCACTTGGCATGCAACATGTTTTCTTGATGGAGTTTCAACGCTTAGCGCTGTTCGTCCTCGGCCCGAGTCTGGCGTGTCTGGCCGCAACATCGTTTGCTCCCCCTGAGGCAGGAGGCAAGCAACCAGAACTTGCGCTCCGGCGCTGTGCTCTTCGCTGAGTCGCTGGTTGATGGCACCGCAGTGCTGCAGCGCTCGGTGCCTGATCAGCAGCCACGAGCAATTCTAACACCCCAGGTGTCGACGGAGCCTCTCCCAGGAATTCGAGCAGTGCCGCCGGAACGGCCCTCTCCTCTGCATCTGCAGGCTTGACCAGTGCGACTTCCGGCCTGATTTTCCAACAAGATTGCGAGTTGGTCGTGGCATGTCTGTGGCGGAAATTCTGCCAGAGATGCGTGTTGCCAGCGCTGCTCTGATGCAAGCTTCGTTTCTGCACCAAGTCCCTGCACAAGGCAATGCGAAACTGCACCAGTGAGGCTGGCGTCGCAAACGAAACCGCTTCGAATCTGACCACTCAGGACCACAGACTTTCGGCCTGATTAGGCTTGTGATCTCGTCGCTGGGTGTAGCGTCGGAAGCCGCAGCGATATCGATTAGCAACGGTGGAGAGCATTCTATGTGGACAGTCAAGAAATCACACACCACACCGTCTTCCTGGGCAGCAGCGCTCATGGCGATTCTAAATGCCAAAGTCCTCAGTGATGGGCTTATGTTCCGATGTCATGTCTCAGGCCTCACACTAGATACCAACTAGTAAAGCTGAGTTTGCTGCGCTCCAGCTTCCAGCACGAAGTTCTTGCCCACGTGCTCAGAGCCCACAGACAACATGAAGGGTGGCCCCGGCGGCTCTATTCGCAGTGGCAGTTCTCCTCAAGGGCCCATGGCCGCAGCCCGAAAGCACCATGGAGCAAACACGGAGGATAAGCACCAGTCTGCAAGACAGCATGCTTACCAGCTACATGAACCCAGTACATTGCTTCGCCTACAGGTGCCTGTAAGCTAAAGGGGAAGACTAAAGGCGACATAGTGCACGGATTTACAATCCGTCGCTTCCTGCCGTGCGAAGAAGCAGCACTGCAGCGACAAACTCACCAGCACGATCAGCGTCCTGCCGAAATGTTTCGAAGCAGCAAGTTTCTCGTGCTTCCACCGCCAGGGGTGAATCGGAGATGTTTTGGCACGGAATCCAAAAGATGGTGCGCCATGGCCAGTATTGGACACCTAGAACATCTCTCTGATCATCTGTCTTGAAGAACGTTCTGCGATGGTACGAAAACGCTTCTTGCGTGTGTGTGTGTGTGTGTCTGTCTGTCGTGGTGGGGCTGCAGCCCCCAGCATGGAGGAGGTTTCTGTCAAATGTACCAGTCTGTGGACTCAAGGCGTACGGGGTCTGGGGCATGCAAGTGCCTTGCATGGTTACCGTTTGCTAGCAAGCTGAGTCTGCAACGTGAGGCTTGACAAACGCCGATGTGAAGCGACAACAACAAACATGCTCACCGGTCTCTGTGTGCTCTCGCAGCGGCACCGGGGGGTCAGGAACTGCCATTATTGCAAATTGCAGAATGTGCACCAACAGGAAATCGTTTCTTTTGCCGCGTCGAGCATTTCATGCTCTTGGATCTACTGGTCAACGCTGCAGCCCAAATGTCAGACCTAAAGCCCGGCAGCTGCTGATCGGGTGTGCTGACGGCTCAATACCACGAACAACCGCAGGACTTCTTAGATCTGAACATGCTGCTTCTACAGCTGTCGGCCAACGGCACCACATTGCGAGGGTGCTTCGCCTTGTGATGCAAATGTGGCAAGACCCGCCGTCAGCAAGCACTTCCCGTGAAACATTCGCAGCCCACAGCTGCTACACACCTGATGTGGACCTTCACAATCGCAGTTTGGTGGTGAAGGGACTGATTCCGCTTCGCGCATACTGTCTGTCTTGAGCGATGACCTCAACCAATCTCTGCTGATTGCCAACGACCACCTCAAGCTCTTTTCGGATTTTTGCAGTCTGGGTCCGCAACGCGAACAAGTCCACAGCTTTTGCCGGCCCCCGCAGTCTGGCGCAGCCGTCCAAGAATTCGCTCGCTTCGATCTGGTGGTCTTCATTGTAATCAAGACTTTGAAAAAACCTGGGCTGTTGCTGCAGGTCGTTGCAAGTTGAAAAATTGTGGTTTGTTCCTTTTTAAGGATGTGAAATACTGAACCTTATGTTCATGAGCGGCCTAGAAACGTCCAAGCATCATGTGCACCGAGATCCAAGGCCTCAAAAACTGCCCGAACTTCGTCGTCCCGGTAATATGCTTCGAACTTTGTGATGTCAAGCTTTCCAGTGCCGTCGCTGTCCATCTTTTGGAACAGCTTCCCCAGCAAACCATCCAGCCGTTGTTTGTCCAACATCAGCGTCTGCACTGCCATTTCTGCATCTCTCTCTGCCCCGCGTATAGCAGCATTGCAGAAAACACCAGTCATGACCTTTCCGAGGACTTTGTTGCCTAAAAAAAAACTCAAGAGGCATGCGCACTTGTGTGCGGGCCCCAATCTTTCTGAAACTGATCATCTTTGGAACAAGGGGGCATCAGACTCAGAGGAACAGAACAGAACAAGAACAAACAAGGGCCTAAAAACTGAAGTTCTTTTTTCCAACAGCCAGACGGTGGGGTCGAAACCACCTAAGTTTTGCAAACGGGCTGTGGATCGGGTTTCGGAACGGAAACATCGATCGTGATCGTCACTGGTATGAAAATACGGAACATGGCGGAGAAATCCATTTAAGCTTCCGATGGTTGCTCTGGAAAATATAAGTGAGTGGAAAGTGGAAACCAACGATCATGAGATGATCCGGGGGCTTGATAACCAAAGTTCGACGGGTTCGAGAACCGATGGTCATCAGAAAAGGGTTCGCAATACTTCGTCTAATACTGCATTCGACGTTTCGACCACGCGAGGCCGACTATTGAACAAATAACGGCCCTGTCAGCCACCCCGAGACTTGCGAGCGCTTGAACACATAATAAACTCGGCTATTCTTGACGGTCCCACGCCGACTATGCCTGGCACTGCCTGGCAAGGTCTGAGGACAAGACAAGGAGTCGGGCAAGTTGAGCGCCTCTGTATCATACTCTCCAGCATGTCAAGTGGAGTAGTGAGGTATTAAAAACACCGCCGACAATAAACAACAGGTGGGAAGTACCCTATTGACAGCAGTCCCGTTCAGAGGCAACCGCACTACGCCCACAACCCAACCCATCCATTTTTGTGCCCAAGAACAAGACCAGTGAAACACATTGTCAGAGCCCATAAATCATTAATTAACCCTCCGGGGCGCAGCTGGCGCTGGCGGAATAAGGCTATAGTACCTCCGGGAGAAGAAACGTTTGCCACGCCACAGTGCATGCATCCAGTTACCACGGGTGTCGAGCCAGCAGTCACGCTTGTTTGACGTCATTTCACTCAACATGCACAAATCAATCTAACCTTCGACTTGGAGTTTCACTCCTTGCCATGCAGATTGACACATCAAAAGTGGCCATATGCCACCACACCACCGTAGCAGAGCATGGCCACGGGCCCACAGGCCACGACCGCATCGCGTACGACAACAACATCATCCCACAATCAGATGCAATGCTTCCAGACTGGGCCAAACCCAGTAGCTGCATGTAGCTGCTGTCCCACTTTGGGGGCAATGAGCCCTGCCCTCGCAAGGAAACTGGCAAGGGCAAAGGCGCTCATGCCACGTATAATTGCAACAACGATGCCTGTTTTACACCGACTTCTGTCCTTAACAGGAACCCTCGCTCAGGAGTCTGAGGCAAGAGTCCACGACCTGCAGGTCCAGGCAAAACCATTTTCCTCGTTAATTTCATCTGCGCATGATCGCCTAATGCTGTTGTTGCACAGACAAGCTCCAGACCGTCATGTGCCACCAGAAACTTGGAATGTGTCTTGTTTCGCCGAAGAACTCGAGAGAGGCAATCCACCTCGCAAGTGAAGTGCACCAGAAACAATGGTACGAAAACTAATGCGACCGGTTATAACACCATGCGAGGGACACTGTAGTTGCGAGAGTTACCCTGCGACTGTGTCCAGGACGATGACACAGGGCTTGCAGCTTGGACAGACCCACAGCTCCCGTTAACCAGTGTCGACTTTGCAATTGGACAGTTGCGCAAGCCAACCGTGGGAAAATGCGCCGCTGCACGCGCAAAGACACATCGAAAAACTACTGTGGTGTCAAGCTCTGGTTCAGCCCAGACCAGAAACTCCAAACCCACGTAATCGAATGGGGCCAAATAAGGTTCCTTTTGCACTTGTAAAAGATCTTATTTCATCAAACGGTGTTCGTGCCTCTGGGGTCATGCGCAAGAATCCGAAGTCAAGCAGCGGGGTCTTGTGATCTCAGGTCTGTGAGGATTGCCGTGTTTTAGCTCAATGTAAAATAAGTGTCGATGCCAAGCTGCAGCATTCGCCAGGAAGCGACAGCTCAAATCAGCAACAATAGCAATCACTCATCACCTCCAAGGATCATTCATGGGACGTGATAGCGTGCAACCAAGTCTAACGGGGCTTAACACCCTTGCTGCAGCGAGTCCGCGTGGGAGCTGTTTTCTCGACCCCACGTTTTTGCTGTCATTGCCTCATAAATGCTACATGCGTGTCCTTGCAGTCGCTTACTGAAGAGCCAAGGGACAACGTCACGGCCCATCGCGGTAAAAGCAAAACAAAAGCCATGCGCATCTTTTATGTATGCACGAACCAAGAAGGCTAGGGCTAGGTGTCACACGACCAGATGATGGCCAGGGCCGGACACAAAATAGGTCATCTGAATCATCTCGTCTACGTGGGCATTCCAGATCAATGTTTGTCGACTGCACTTTTCGCGGGAGTCTGTCTCGACCACTCACCCAGCCCCAATGCATCATTGGATGTCTTGGCGGGATCTGCGCAGAGAAGATGTACGACATGTGTCAATGCTGACACGAATGCAAGATGCTCGAGTTTCAATGACACTCACTCGTCCACCTGCATGATATCAACCTCTTCGCTTCCCCAATTCCTAGTACACCAAGCAAATCTTCTGGCCCGCCGGCATCGCCACGACGTCCACCCTACCGGAGTGGTCCCGACAGGCGTTAGGAAGATTAGAAGCGGTTGGATCTTCAGCAACTTCCTACCGACATTGCCTTTGAGATCCTCGAAATTCTGCTCAAACATCTTGCAGCGCTCTTCGCATCTCTGCGCTTGGTTTCTCTTCCTTCTCAAGATGGAGAAGCCGAACATAGCCGAACTGGCACATTCCATTCTGGACTCTGTGAGCCGGTGCCTCACTATCCAAATCGAGCTTTCGTCTACCTGTGCCACTCTTCCAAAGTGCTCTAGACCTTGAGCCGAAACGGCTACAACAGCAGCCTTTTGCTAGTGAGCCTTCTATCAAGTGGGCAACTATCAACTGTAAACTGACACGGCACCGTTCCATTCTGGATTCTGACGATAGCAGGATCTCTACCAACATTTTGTGCACACATCTTGGACGCCAACACCTCCGCCTCTGAAACAGGCTGAGTTTTGCGCGCAATCCTGCTCCAGAGAAAAGACCTCGACAAAACAGCAAACCCAACTTCAGGGAAAACAGGACAAATAGAACAGGAGTTGTATGTCTTCCTAAAGCCTCCCAAAATCGACCAGTCTTTAAGTCGCAAATAAGGGGCTCTACATCGGGGGGCGTGTTAGCATGCCAAATTGTTTCGGAAAGGGGAGATGCAAGCCGAGCTTGCGCAGTTGCCTAAACACGGTCTCATCGCGGAAGTACTGTACCGGTACCTCTTGTCATTCAACGCATTGCTGCTCTGCCTGAAATACCACGTGCTACAACACATTGCTGTCACATCGGTCTCCTCTGGCTTGCCTTTGCGATGTCTCTGCAACAGACACCAGCTGGCTTTGCCATAAGCTGCGGAGCCCAAGTGAAGCGTGAACTTAGGCCCCTGCATTGAGTAACGCAAACAGGCAGAACGCAATGTAGATGCAATAAACATAGACCCACAGCCATCCTATTGTCTTCAGAGGATGGACTGCATCAAACCAGGACAGCCCACCAGAGATGGACATGAAAAGCGTCAGCGAAGAAGATTGCAGGGTTCCAAACAGTGGCACCAAAGCGGCTTTGGTTTCCAGCTGGGACGTGTCGGACATGTAATTGCCCACAACATCCGTGAAAATGGCTGCAAAAACATAGTTGATCAGTGTCATAAGTAGCATCGCCCAAATTAAGGCCCTCAGGGTACCGAGAATGGACTGCACAAGAGTGCGAAGAGGTCTCAAGAATCGTGCCACTCGGAACACCCGGACGATGCGCGTGAGCCGTGTGAGCCGCACAACTCTCAAGACTCGCAAGTTGCTACTCATGCTTGTAGACTGGCCCCCTGTGTCCACCAGGAACTCGTAAAGAACACTGGCGACAATCAGCGTGTCAAACACGTTCCATGCCCAATTTGCATTACAGTAAAAGCTCCAAGGACCTGCAGCAATCATTCTCAAGAGGAGCTCCACCGTGAACAGAATACCATAGCCGATGCTGACTGCATAAATAGAGTCGGGTGTGCCTGCGAAACTGTTCTCAGACTCCCATTGAATCACAACTCCGATGAAAACTGAGTTTGTAAGGATCACGGCGGCAAAGAATGCTTCGAACTGCCAAGAGCTGACCAGCTTTCCAATGCGTCCCTGACTGGCACCGACTTCGGTCGTGAGCACATCGGTCAACGACATACTCTTTGATGCTAGCTTGTCTGCGTCCGCCTCAGATGGCGCGCTGGCCTTTATCGCAAGCTCGTATGTGAGCGACCTTCTTCCACTCACGGTGTGCTCGGGTGAGGAATCGGTGACATTCGACACCATTCCAATGGGTTCGGTCTTCTCTGCAGTGATGCCATGCAGTCCATCGAGCTGTCGGCAGTTTGGAAGGGTCCCCAGCTGTGGCATTGGAGATGCAGCGTCTCGCAACCCATTTAATCCATTTCTCTGCAAGTCTTCGCTCGTCTGACTCGTCTGTCTTTCCAGCAAAGCCAGCAGCTCCGAGTACAGCTGCTGCTGCGACTGCTGAAGCACACGCTCCAACATACTCGGAAATGTGTCCGGCATGGCGGCTCTGCGCAGGTTTTATGTGCCGGCGTCCTTCCTGCCTGTTGAACCTCAGACTGACAATCCTTCCAGTACAGTCTTTCAGGAAGCCTGCTGTTCACTCTTGCTTGCTGCAGATAGCTCGACTAAGCATTTCTTGAATAGGCAAGCAGCTTGGAATTCGCGGCTCACTCGCCTTGCCTGGTCCTTGGTGCCTCGTTGCATTGTGCAGCCGTGTGACGAGCTCCCAGAAACCTCGACGCCATTTTCCCATGCGCAACTGTACACAACGAATCTCGATTGTAGATGCACAAACTCAGCTTTGAACGAATTGCAACGTGCTCTGCGACAGGGAGAGAGACAAATAGGGGAGAGAGAGAGTTGCACAGCCCCAATACATTGGGGAGCTGAGTCGGACACTGGACAACAATGCAATTGCAAATCCTGCCAGTGAAAACAAAAATCATGCCCGAATGGATGCTTACGAAGGCAGCGGGAAAAATGACAAACCTGCGCTTCTGAGTATATACACGGTTTGTTCGTCACCGCCGAGAGTGGCGAGGCATCAGCCGAATTAATGTGCATGCTTATGAATTCGGGGTTTCGGCACCTGATCGGCAAGTCCTGTCCTGATCCACGACGTGTTGAATGTTTCCCAACATCTGCGCCAAGTGCTCTTGAGTGCATGCTGTCTCGCACATCTGCATGCCGAGCTTGCTTATCTGTCTTCGCAGCATGTAGACGTCAATGGCCTTCGCGGTGCCGCGCAAACGTAGACAGCCCTCGAGAAACTCTTCAGGCAAAATCTGGTAGTCTTCATTGTGGTCCAAGCTCAGGAATAACGTCCAGGCATCAGTGGCTCCGAGTTCGAGGGCTTCGAAGAGAACTTTTACTTCCTCATCCTGAAAATGCTTCTCGAAGTGTGACAGGGTCAAGGAGCCATTACCTTCGTCGTCCATCTTTTGAAAAAGCTTGGTCAAGGACCTGGTCACAAGAATGAGACCATGTGCAGTAGTAAGCCGTCCCTCCCTCCCACTACCCAGCACGAGTTGCTACACACTTGTTGTGCTGCACAAAAAAACTGCACTCGGTGAGCGGCTGCTTTAGTTGTTGCTTGTCCATGATCAAGGACTGCACGACCATTTCCTGATCTCGCTCGGCACCCTTGATGGCGGATTGGCAGAACACCTCAGATGGTGAACTGTCCGCACGCACCTCATGCTTAGTGGCTTAGTGCATGATATATAATGTGAATCTAAATTGCCACTTGAACTTCAGCCCTTCCGAAAGTCAACCTGTAACGACGAAAATGCCTTGTTCTTTGACTGGCCCAGATGCTCCTGTCATCACATTGAGCACGGCAAAACATGAAAACGCTACATAGGAGGTGAAGACATAAACCCAAAGCCAGCTGATGTTGGAGAGCGCACCAGACGCATCCTGCCAGGTTAGCCCGCCTGAAATCGACATGAACAATGTTTGCACAGAGATGTGGAGGGTACCGAAATACTTCTCAAGGTCTCCAATAGTTTCCACGCTGTCAGTTTCCAAAATATGGTTGTTCACAATGTCGGTGAAGACAATGCCGAACACGTACATGATCAGTGCCAAGAGGAGCATCGCCCAAAACAAAGACTTCAGTGTGTTTGCGATGGAGAAAACCAGGGTTCGCAGTGAGCGGAAAAACCGCACAACTCGGATGACACGGAAGATTCGTGTCAGCCGCGTCATCCGTAAAACGCGGAGGATGCGAAGGTTGCTGCTAGAACCTGATAGTTGCGGGTCTTGTGTCGCAACTTCCACGAAGCATTCAAAGACTGCAGATGTAACTACGAACACATCAAACCAGTTCCAGCCCCAGTTCACAGAGCAAAAGAATTCGCGTGGACCAAACGCACACAGCTTGAGCAGCACCTCAGAAAGAAAGATCAGCGTGTAGACTAGCTGGACAGCAAACATCGTGGAAGGTACTTTCAATGTTCTCTGGGCCGATTCCCACTGGATCGTCACTCCGATAAATACGGAGTTCGTGGCAATGACAGTTGCAAAGAATGCCTCGAACTGCCAGGAGCTTGCTAGCTCTAAAAGCCGTCGCTGCATACGCCAGAGGCGGCCAAGCGAAATGACCGGCAACTCTGGAGATTCTGATGGCAAGGAGTCTCTGATCCGTTTGCTAGCCTCCTTGGCCAGCTCATAGGATCCCGACCTGTCCAGCGAAGCATCTCGCACCACGAGGCTGGAAGAAAGGCGAGAAGCCAAAGTCGGCCTTTGCGAGACATCCTCCTGCGAGGGGCGTTCCTGGCATTCCTTTCCATCTGTCAGATGCTCACTCTCCGCCCCAGGAGGCAGCGGGACAACCAGCGGAGGCGGCCCTAAAAGATCTGAGCCCTGCGATGAAATGATTGAGCCAATCTGCCGTCGCCTGTCCAGCAAATGCTCCATTTGCATTAGCAGCCGCTGATGGTGCTTGCTCAGCAAGCCATCCACAATGCTCACCAAGGACTCTTGGTCCATCTTTCTGCAGTGGCGGGCCTCTACGGCTCTACGGCCACATGCTCGAAATACGCTGCGGGCATGAGCAAGAAAGGCATGAACCCCTGGTACAGCCGTCGTCCTGGCTTGTCTGCTGCGAGTGGTCGATCATCAAACAAACGCACCAGAGGCGTCAGTGTCTATCATTCCAACAAGGCTTTTGGGTTTGCCAACTTTCGGTATGCATGCATGCACACACCGGCTGCTTAAACTTCAGCCAAGATATGCCTTCTCGTTATGAGCTCATAGGTGTTATGTGTTACTACACGCCCATAATGCATACTGAATTTACCCACGCCCTCAGTTCTTGCCAGCTGCCAGCCGAAGTCGCCCAAGGGCCGACCAAGAGAGTACCCTTTTCTAACCTATCTCCAGCATGCGCCACGCTGTCGAAAGGTCACCGAAGGGGTCCGGGCCCACCAAGTCTTGGACAGATGCTCCTGGCAAACGGTGAAAGCTGCAGGGCAATGAAAGAGTTTGAAACAGTTTATTACCAGTGTGCTCGCGGGACCTTTCCCGTACATTGCCAAGGAAGGCGAAGGGTTGACTTCTAGCAGAATCGCAGAACCATCACCTGAAAGTGAGGTAGTCAGCAAAGCTGCAACTCTTCTCGGCAGCAGGCTCAGGCACCAGCAGTCTATCAGGAAATCTGCACCAAACAGCTCCCAGCAGTTCCTCCGGTGCTGCTGCAATCTCGCGACATGTGGTAAATCTCCCAAGCTTTGGAGAGTTAATGCTTGCCGGTTTGGTCACATCTTGTGCATGCCCGGGGGCGGGAGTGCAAAGAAGTGTCGCCGCCCAGCAGCCCGCAGGTTTGCCAACGTGCCACCGAGCACCTTCAGCACCTGCCAGCAGACGCGACGGCCGAGAGCACTTCGGCGTGGTCTTCTTACCAACAGTTAGTTCCAGGGTACGAGCACTGGCAAATGCTTATCGGCAGGATGTGGCAGACCTGAAGCCAAACTGCAGTTAATATGCATGTGAGAGCAGCAGCTGTTGAATTTGGCATGCTCTATGCAAAATATACGATTATGACAAGAATCAACTGAAAAGCAATAATGAAGTGTCGGTGTGCTCACTGTCGTGCTGCGAATCGTCCCGTGACAAACGTGTTTTTTTTGAATGCAATGAGAAGCCGGCCTCCGAACCTTTGCAAAACTTGCAGGACGTATACAACACAACATATTATGCGTCTACTTACCGGCGGAAGTGCTGGATATCTTCGGTGTCATCATCAACTTTGATGTTTGGCATTGCGCAAAATGTTCGATTTTTCATACACCCCGCCGTGCGAATACATAATGTATACATGTTATGACACCTCTAATTTGCCCAGACTTTCTGATGAAGAAGCGGTCACTTGTCAATGCTGTACGCACACAACACATCCGAACATGGTGAAAGTTCCAAAATGTGGGGTTGGGGGTGGTCAGTTGTCGATGCATTCAGTGGCGCGATCTCGGGTTCCTCGAAGCGTGTCAATCTGTTGATTCTGTTTGAGGGTGTTTCAGCCGGCGAATCGTTTGCAATGCCGCGCCTGATTGAAGACTTTTTCTGCCAGCTCCTCCCCCAGCATCTGCAGCCCAAGGTTCTGAGCCTCTTCAGAATAGCCTTCCGCACATGAGGGGGGCTGTGCAGGCATGACCACCGCCTGTTTGAAATACCGGAACATGGAGGCATGATGAGGCGACTACCAGCCTGAGACGGCAGAGTTGGCGCCCATGTTCGTGATGTGAACATCCGCACGCATGCTGTCTTCGCTACCTTCCCGGTATGCGGTGGTGGCCATCAGCATCCGAACGTCGGAGTGCACGTGGGCTGTCCTCGGGAAGGAGTGCCGGCAGAATCCCGGCAGAAAAACTGTTTGTGTCAGTGCCTCGTGCGGAGAGTGCAACCTCATCACTTGCACTAGACAGTCTTAATTTGAGTCGCAGGTTCAAGTCCCCGACACAAAGCAAAAGAGCTCTCAAGTGGAACTTGCGACCATCGTGCAAATATGGCTCGATGCTCCTTCCAACAGAAACTCAGCAAACTGGATCTTCAGCAGCTGGACATGGATGGAGCGAAACTTTGTACGCAAATAGTATGCATTGGTGTTGCTCCACCAGAGCTGGGAAGTGCCGGCAGTACAAGCAAACAGCCCAGCCGCCTTTGCAGCACCCAGACCTGTTCAGTCAGAAGTCCATTCACACACGCACGATTCGGCGGATCTTCAAATGTTCCCGGCGGGTTTCAGTCGATGTCACAGGTGCAGTGAATTCGCCTGAGAATGCCTGAGACTTCAGGAGTGGCGCCTGGAGCTTCTCGTCTGCGGGCCTGTGCTGCACAAGCTCATGGGTTTTCCAGGAAGCCAGATCTTGCCAGCGCCGGCGTTGCCTGCAAAATGAGATGTCGACAGTCCATGTACACAGCATAGCAGTCTGCCAAAAGGCGTGGGCGATGGCGTTCTGCAAATCTTTGTCACGCATGCTCTGGGTCGATGGATGGACTGTGCCTGACGGCGCAGCCCACCACCATCCCAAGGCCGCATAGCAGCAGGACTGCCTTGGGCCACGTGCCTGCAGTAGACTGCGCTCCTTCAAACCCCATGTACTTAGACCGCTTCTACATGCCACTGAATTGCATTTCTATCCATTCGCTGCTGGGCCTGACGACCGTTTTCGATGAAAAAGCGCAGAGCCCAAGAAGCAGAGCAGGGCTGCAGAAGCTACCCGGGCCGCATGCCTAAGTTGAGCTTGCAAGGAATTCAATATTAATTCAATACGCAACAACAGCTCGCCAAAGGTTGTCAACACCTGTCTGAGTTCATCGACGATGTAAAGCAAACCCGAAGCCGGTGCCTGACAATGCTCACCAAAGCCCTAGCAGCCCTAGCAATCTCCACTGGTACCCCATCCTCATTGTCTTCATAAGTTTATGCATGCACCTGTACATCTGAGCAGCGTACGCGAAACTGCCCGGAAAGTACATGACTTGCAGAAGAGCAAGTGCTTCTCTTTCTGTGAGGAAGCGGATGCCATAGGCGTTAGACGAGTGTGCCTGCATTCACGCTCGACAGCCCGACCATTCTCAATCATTGTGCATGCTTTGTAAAGAACATGTCCGTCTAATGTGCTGCTCACTATCGAAGACATACAGTTGCACGAACCTGCTCTGGACACGTGTTTACTTGGACCACGCTCTTCTGCATGAGTGCCTGCGCTTGCAGCCCTCTCCGCCTGGTGCTTTTTCAGCACGGCATACTCTGCAGACGTACTACCAGGTTACTACCAGGCTGCGCTATCCAGAGCAGCGGGTCATGTCGAGAAGACTGTGGCTGTCAGTTGATTATGGCTGGCCCCGGGCCTTCTTCAGCACGTAGCGCACCTCCTTCGTCTGAGGCTGCTTTCCACAGCCCAAAGCTCGAAGACCAGCTTGCAGCTCTCGGAAAGTCTTCACAATGGCAGATGGCCTCTGAGCCGTGTGTAATTAACGGCTTGAAAGGCAGAACGTGGTTCTCAGCTGCATGAAGCCAAGTTGCGGATGACATCCCGCAGGCACAAAGCCAATCAGCTTGTCTTTGCGGACGAGGCCACTTCGAACAAAGTACCGTCCGGCTGACTGCCGGCCTGCAATCACCTCCTGGGCCACACGAGAATTGTGAACTGACATGGCAGCAGAAAGCCCAGCTTCATGTCTAAAGCTGTCCGGCCAATGACAGCGGACAAGCGCGAGCGGTGTCAGAATACAGAATCCAAGCTGGCACTGACAAAAGTCAAAGCTGAAAGCGCAAAGCTCGGACATTAGGAGAAGGACCTCCCAATCGTAGCTATGCCATGCGCGGACGCTTGACCCATGATCACCGGCCGCTGCGGGATCACCCATTGGGCCATGCGAGTGAAGTAGATCTACCAGTCATGTGCTGGGCCTGAATGCAGTATGCTTGCAGTGTACAGCTGTCTCGCAGTCGGTCTTTGCACCTCAATAGCCCTGTGATACCGCATGCTGCTGGCACACTGCCGCTTGAATTGTGTGTAGCTGTCGCATTACACAAAAGGAGCCATCCTTCACAGTCACCAACGGCACTGCTGTTTCGGCGGTGAGAACCTGGGTTGCTGGCAGCGGCATGGGCGTCCTTTGGTTTACCGACCTCCTCGAGCAAGGAAGGAAGTATCAAATGATGGCTTGATCAGGAGAGCCATTCGTCCTCCCAAAACGGCGTCTCGCCCTCCGCCAGCTCTTGACGACGTCGGCGTGCGCACGCTGCACCTTGCTTGCGAAAGACCGACTGGCAGGCTGTGGCACTTGTTAGAATAGCACATGCTGATTCGGCTTCTCGGTATTTTTGAGTTCGCTTGATGCTCTTGCCTCTGCTCTCGCCCTTGCTACTGTCAGCAGCCCACATCATTGCTCATTTCGGTGTAAATTGAAAGGGCTAGTGATGGCGTTCCCGCAGCTCCCGCTGTGGCGCGGTGCACATCTTCGACCAAACTCGTGCTTGCTCCACACTCTCGCACTTGAGGCGACTGCAATCATCCACTGCAATGTCCAATACTTGTGACCGGGGATGGCGTGGCATCACTGGGAAACCATCAAACTATTTTGTCTGTGGTAAATCTGTGAGCGGGTTCTGTGAGAAACCTGTGAGCAAGCTGTGACCGGTGCCCAGGGTCTGTGAGAAAAGCTGTGAGGGAAGGGATGGACCAGCCGGACCCAAACCCCACCCGCTTTCAGGTTTCTCACAGATTTCTCACACCTTTCTCACAGATCACCTGCAGCCCCACAGACTTCTCACAGGTCTCTCACAGGATCCTCACAGCTTATCCAAACTCACAGACACCGCTCACAAATTTCTCACAGAAATATGCATTTTATTCCACTCCAGTCATTCCAAGGCCCCCCCGGGTCACAATCCTATACTTGGATGCTCGCGAACTTGACAAACCGCACTGCCATCAGAGCGTCTCGCTGTAACTGGGGTGTTTCCCGGGTGGAATTCCGAAACCGTGCCGAACGGTGGCATCGTGAGGCCCGCCACAATGTCGTGCAAATTTGGGCTGCGACTCTTTTGCGCCTCGCGATTCTGCCAGTTTCAGAAAATGGGCATCCACGTGTTCTTTGTTCGGGGCTTTTGCCACTGAGAATTGAGCCAACCCACCGAGACCTGACAAAACCCAAGACAAACTACAGGGCGGGACGGGCTGTGCCATGCATCACTCGCGGTCTTTTCTTATATTTTCTTTCAATGTTCCAGCATAATCTGCAATCACCAATCCCACGATCTGCTTTCTGGCTCCGGGTATGCGGTTCCCACAAAGCCCAAAATCAATCCTGCGCACTTCTCACCAAAATCCCACTCAAGACCCCTTTTGAATGCCGCTTACATCTCACTTTACTCTGTGCAAAGCCGGCGATCGAGCCACAATTTACTTGAGCCAACATATACAATGGACGGCGATAAACCTGCAAAACCAACACGGTTTCCGTCCAAACTCCGTCTGTTTTCCCGCCACTCCTTTGGGATGGAATTCAGCAGGATTCTTACGTTGTTTAACGAGGATATGTTTCAGGTGAAGAAGGCACACTTGAGGGGCGGAGCCAGGGAACGAAAGCTAGCCGCTAGAGCTGGCGAGGCGGGCTCCAAGCATCACATCCAACAACATCAGCAACCGAAGGCAAACAAAGCTGACGAGGCGGGCTCTAGGCATCCTCACATGCAACCAGAACCGCATCAGCAACGTGGGGGGGGGGCTGTTCGACATATCAATTCTTTGCGTCCGGGCCGGCGGTCCCGGCCCACTGCTTACGCAGATCAGGCGGTATTCCAAGCCATTTTTTGAGGGACTCGTGTTTCCGCCACAGTGGGTGCGTGTTCTCGGGTGCGGGTACCGGTAGTCTTGGGCGCTTCACAGGGGGGAGGTCCGGGAGGTGTCTTAATTGCAAAGTGTCCGCCAATCTCCAAAAAGACTAACCTTTGAAACCATGCAATGCGGTGAAGTCGTGCTTGCTGTGTGCACTTGCACAGCCTGCCGGTCTTGCAAGGACTTGGCACTGACGACTACGCGTCCGTACGTCTACTGTGAGTCTTGATTCAGAATGCTGTTCAGCCTTGCTAAGTCCGGCACCCATCTTGGGAATGGAGCTCGGCGTTGGCGGTAGACTTAAGTGAAGCTGCGCTGGGGTCAGTTATGACTGCCAACCTGGTCTGATTTTACTCCAAACGGAATGTGAGGCCTGTTCAGCATCGCAGTCTCTAACGGCAGAAGATTGGCTGGCCGCATTGCTGTTGCTCTCTGGGGCCACCCTTGAATACAAACAGCTGAAAGCAAATCCACGCATCATGTGGACTGGCACGATAGAAATGCAACTGCAGAGTCAGCGGCCCCCCTGGACCGCGCAAAGCTCCAATGGAAAATTTAAACATGACGAAGAAGATGAAGAAGTGTGAGCAAGAGTTCAATGACGTTCCGTTCAGTACTGCTGTGTCGCTTGGCGCTTCATCCTGGAAGCCTTGCAGCCCTTGTGCATCAGTTTCGTCGACGCGTGGGGGGTCGCTCTGCGAAGCATCGGCAGCTGGTTGGGAAGCCACGCTCATGCCGCACCTCCTGAGCATGTGCTTCAAATTGATACTCAGCATTCTGGCTCGACGTGACCTTATCGACGCAGTGCTTGTCCGCAGGTGCAAGTGGCGTCCTGCCCCGGGCTTGACGAACACGCCGATGGTCGAACCGTCCTGGTGAAGAAAAGAGAACCCATCCGGCATCTGGTTGCATGTCACTCTGACTGGGCCCCGAGCAGGAAGTGGATTGCCGCAGATAGTTTGTATGGCTAGAAGTGCATCCTCTGCCACACCTTGGATATTGTGAGCAATCCTTGAGGTCAAGCTCCTGGTCGCAGCCTGTCGAGTTTGAGATCCGGGCCGAACTTCACATAGGCCGTACCAGTGCATGCGCCGCTCGAGTCGTCCTTGAGAACCTGTACGCTTTGGATGGCGCCTGGGCACAGGCTTAGCACTAGGTTTACTACAGCAGGGACAGCAAGCTAGCAAAGCTAGCCTTCTGGTCCATGCGTGCAAGTCATGACAAGCAGGAGCCAGCAACCTTCTGGGGCAGTAGCCGAAAGGAGCGAACACCTCTTGGCAAGGAGGGGAATTGAGAACTGCAACAAGGATGCCAAAACCTGGTCTCGTAACCACTGCCGAGGAGCATAGTATAAATACAGCTCATCAATGTCAGGGGACAAGCCCTGGCAAACATGGAAGTAGTTTCATTTGTCTCGGCTTCAGCAATGCAGACAATGAGATAGGGGCCCGGCCCTGATGATCAAATAACCTCAGATGCATCAGCCATTTCCATAGGAGATTCTCATGCAAAGCATTTGGCACGAAAGCGAAACCAAGTCATGTGTTAAATCTCCCCGGAGTCACTTGGGTCAGGCTGATCGCCCAGCTCAGTGACCTGGACAGGATGGGATGCCGGATCAACATTCGCGTGCGTGCGTCTGCTCATAGATGGAGAACGGCGGGTCGGCTATCGAAAAGCCCGAGGCTCGTAGATCTTAGACGCGCGCCGGCTTGTAGCCCTTCACTGAGGCGATGGTGTCACTGACCTCCAGGCTTCAACTCCGTGCATTCTGAAAGCCAGGGCCGTCACAACAGGAGCATGAAGCCTTGTGCAGCCCTGGGCCCTGATCATCTCAAGTCTTGGATCCGCATCTTCGAACTGGGAGGCATGCCGCTTTCTGGAATTCCGGCGTGGCTGGGCCTCAAGCCAAAGGAATTCCGCGACAGTAGCAGCTACCACCAGCTACAGCACTGCACCCCCCACTTAGATGCACCGAAGCGCCATGTTAAGCGTTCCCATCGGGTTTTGTTCTTTCCAGGGTGTGTAGCTTTGTACGAGATTGACAGAGGACGTTGAAAACCAAGGCAGGGTTGGGCGGCTTCGATCGTTGAGGCTGTTCGGCCAAGCGGACGAAAGCTCAAAGGCACAGAAGGTCTGGTCGACGCAGTCTTTACTCCGAAGCTGAGGCCGGGTCTTTTGGGCAGGGACGCAGCCTGCACAGCTGTCTTCCGCGAATGCCTTATTCGCCTTTATTGGCCGTGCGGTAGTTCGACTTGTACCATTCAACACTCGCGGTAACACTGGCGTAAGACGTTCTGACACAACCTCCCTTCGGCCTTCATGCCACCATGCGTTGTGAACCTCTCGGCAGCTAGGCATCCCGCGCAGCAAGCTGCACGTTTTGTGAAGGCGCAACTGGCGCAATCACGATTGAAGCACTGGGCCTGGTTGCGAGCGGCCGAACTTGTGCCTCACAGCCGTGATTCGGCACTTTGCGAGGCTGGCTGAGGTGCTTTTTCCGCATGCCACGCTACACCGCTCAAGGAGTTGGCAGCCCGAGCTGCGACTTGTCGGTTTGCAGCGTGTCTACACGGGAGTCATGGGAGCATCTCCCGGCCACTAGGTGGCCTCAAGAGACGACTTCTAGTCTGTACCTGATTGCTGGCACCAGCCGCGTGAATGCTCCATGCAGGAAAGATCCACGGCAGCATTTAATGGCAGCAACATGCAACCGACAGATTGCATCAAAGAGCGTGGCCAAACCTATGATCTTGTCGTCTTCGGGCTATTCTATTGCTTCTTGGTGGCACCCTCTCCCTACACCGCATTTATCTCGGAGCACACCCACCTGACCCTCATAGAACCACTCATAGCCACTCACAGTGTCTCCCTTCGCATGGCCACTCTCTTGCTGAGGCTAACTGCCAGAAAGACTGAGCTTGGCTCTGTCGCAACACTGTTCCAGCATCCATGCCCTCGCACGTCTGTACACAAAGGCACACGAACAAGCTGCGATCGCAATGCATCGGGGTCGAGCAAAGATCACTGCTGCACACACGACGCGAATTCTGTTCTTTGCAAATCTCGTCGATCTATGCCGAGGTTCGCTACGGTATATGACACATGTGTACAACAGCACGGGGTTTCCCGGGCTCATGCAGCCTGAATAACACAGGCCCTGGCACAGGCATGCCCAAGGGCCGTTAGGACGAAGCGAACAAACTTTGCTTTCTCGAAATCCCTCGCAAGCACCTGCCATCAGCGAGGGCATGTGCGTCTAGCGGAGCCCTCTCTGTGCGAATCCTGGCCGCTCCGCATGATTGATTAATGTGATCAGTGCTTTCTGCATCGATGCTGCCTGTTTGCTGTTCGTAGAAAACCTGACTCTGCACGAGCACCAACAAGCTTGAAAAATCAAGCCCTGGAGCTTCGCAGGCACCAAATTTGTCTTGATTCCCACCCGCCCTGCAGTCCGCCAGGCCGCTCCCCCAACATACAAAGTAAAGGCACATCGCAACGAGCTTCGTGACTTGATCTTTGGCCTCAGATGCATGATGATACATGTCTTTGCCGAACTTCTGCAGTGCCATATGACTCGGCTCGCACAGTGCTGCTCAGTGACCACGTACATCAATGCTGCCTGCAGCACTCCTTTCCTGAGAACAGCGTAAGGCAAGGAGAGCACGAACTACAACACCTGGATAGACAAAGAGGGAATGCCTCTCTCATGAGCGATGACCATGTAGGGGGTTTTACGAGTGTGACTACTTGTCATGAAGTCCACTCTCTCTCCCACTCTCTCCACAGGGGGGAGCTCAGGGAGCGTCCTCTCTCGCTTTCTCTCTGTCTGTGTCCGTGCCTGGCTGGCTGGATGGCTGGCTGGTTCTGTCCAGTCTGTGTCCACTGCAGCGACTAAACTAAATGGCATGAATTCGCAAAGACACAAGAGAGTGGGCCACAGTCCACGGTACAGCTCGAAAAGCTGCTCGCTCGGTCGCGGCTTGCCTGGCACCTAGCAAACATCGGCAACAGACCGGCAAGATCACACCGTCATGTCGATCTGCAATCACACGTATATACTTCTGCAAAAGGCCGAGTGGTATAGCTTACTTCGACCGTACTGGAGTAGAGTTTCAGCAAGCTCAGCTTGAGTCTTGATGTCTACACCCGGCTCACGATTTTATGCCCAGGCCTTGTGGTTGAAGGAGAAATTGTGCGGGAGGGCATCCGGCGTTGCATCGTTGTCGCAGTCGGTCTCCTCTGGCTTCGGACCAGCCTGGAACAAAGCCGACTCAGCCGATACTTTCCGACTTCCGAGTCCGAAGACACGTGCGTGACCAGGCAGAGAGTTGCAGGAGGCACCTTGTGTGAGTTTGTAGGGGATCGTTTTACCGTTTTCCCCCCGGGCTGACATCCCGTGCTTTGGCTCTTCGGACTTTGGCTCCCTTTTGGCTGCTTTGGAGCTTTTTCGACTCTCTCGCACGAGGCAGGCAAGGCTCCACATAATCCTGGGAGCTTCAGGGCACAGGGCTCATCTGCTATGATCGACAGCCCTCGAATATTGCCGTACATCGTACATCGTTCGAAGTTATTCAAACTTTGAGCAGCACCGGGTTCTTTGAGGGGTTCCCATTTTCTTCGGCGCTGTCCACGGACCCTTTGAATCCCGGCATGCACCGTAACCTTTTTGCAGCTTGTCGCATGGCGGAACCATCGCGTCGACTCTCTACTTCTGTCTCTGTCGTGACCGCAAGTGTGAAATCTCTCTTCGTGAAAAGTCTTTTCCTCAGCCTGGTCCACTTTTATTTAGTGACCCTGGCCCTGGCTCTGAAAAAATGTCTTCGGGACCTGCGGCTCGATGCCTGGCGAGTCCCGCCACTGACGCTGTGGGACAGCTGGCTGCGTGCAAGCGTTCGGAGGTCTTTTTGGTATCCTTTGGTGACAGACGCTGATTTCGTTCCGCCCGTCGACCTCTAAGTCCCAAACAATCATGCAGCCCCCCGAGGATGCAGGGGATTGCTTGGACGAGAAGGGTCTGAGCGTGCCTGCATCATGGTTTTCATGCGGGTGACTGGGAAGGTGATGATCGTGGCGATGGCCTGCGACAGTGCAACCCCTGGCACCAGGTGCACTTCCTTCTCAAGGCTTCCTCCCCGCCTTCGCCAAAGCACCCAACATGAACCTAAGGTTGCACTCACGTGTGGACAGGTGACTCCGAAGGAGCAGGTTTGCAACCAAGCCTCACTTCCAAGGACGTCAGCGACACTTTGGCTGACAAGCCCTGCAGCAACTTCCTCTGCATCATGGCCTCCTGCATCCTTAGATGTTGCTGCTTCATGCAGCGTCGTCAAGCGAATTGCATCACGACAAGGGTGGATTCCAGGCAAATCTTCGCACTCAATTTGCCCAGGCGCTGGACAAACACAGTATTCTGGATGGCAGGATTGCTGCAGAGTATGAGGTTGAACCAGTATCCTTTGAAGAGACCAGCCAAGCCATCCTCGCCAGGACAGTCTAAGCTTCGTCTCGACTTGAGAAGGCAAGAAGCTCTGAGTTGGTCGAAGTATCCTTGCTGACCACAAGCCGAAGCAAGCTCAGTGGCCCCCTGGCAGTTCCAACTTGAAGCTTCGTGGAGAGTACCTCCAGAGGGTTGATCGAAGTCATCGTCACGATGCCTGCCAGAAAGCCCATACCTGGTTCGACGTCGCATGTGCAATCCCACCCAAAAAGTCTGCCATCGGTGAAACACGCATCCCCGACCGGGCTGCACAAGCTCACGCCGTTGGTGATCTTAATCTGGCGTTCTGCTGCGAACTTCTTCAAGGCTTCGTACACATAGAAAAACACGAAGTTCCTGGCTTTCCGTCAGCAGTGTGGATCTTGCATTGCCGAACATGTGCAGGCACTTCATATGTTTGCCTTCAAAAAATGAATTGCTGCCAAAGTTCTCCGTGCCTTTCTCAAGGCATTTGACAGACACTCCGCTGAAAAGCCCTGGGAGTCCGTCCTTCTCGACGATTTGCCTGCCAAGAGCCGCTGTTGAGAAACTACCTCCGAAGCACCTCCGCTTCATTATTCATTCGGCTTTGCAGAGCCATGCACCGCGTTCTGCACGCCTCATGGTGCCCAGGATCGCTGTCTCTCCTTTCTGGCTGACACTGATGCCTGTCAACTCCAGATCTCGTGCGTCTCTTTCAGTCACTTTAGAAAACTTCCCGTGGGCCCGTGGGCTTTACACTTTGCAAGCACAAGTACTGAGACTGTAAATTCTCAGGCGAGGAGATTTCAGGAGTAGCGCTCAATTCTGTTGACAGAGTTGCTCGATGGTTCAGCTCCGACCTGTTTCACAACGTGACAGCATTCACTGCCAAGCTGCGTGTCTTCGCTATCTCCACAGGCATGAGCATGGCTGCCGCAAACCTGTTCGAAAAATCGCACGCTGCGTCCAGCTATTCTGTGAATGTTTCATGCCGCTCCGCCAAGAAACATGCCGCCACCGGCGCCAGCCGACGCTGAGAGGAAAGCGTCGAAGGCGCCTGCAACACATGAATGCATTTTCTGGGGACTTGTGCCCATCAGGTGTCCCGGTTCCAGCTCGGGTGTGGAGTGCTCGCTCATTCCGATTCCGACTCTCACCTCCCCCCCCCCCCCAACCNNCCCCCCCCCCCCCCCAGCAGCCAAGCAAGGAATGCAAAATCGGTCTTCACTATCGGTGCTCCAGACGGGTCGCAGCAATCACAGCCATGAAGGACAACTCCAAAACAAAAGCCCAAGACCAGCATCAGAATCCAGCAAGGCTTACACTGCAACCCACTGCGAACGATGTATAGAATCAAACGAATGCGAAAACCAACCCTACAGTCTGTTACGTAGTTTGTGCCGCTTGTCAATGAGAATGATCTGCTCGGTTTAGGCCTGCAGCCAAAATCAGCCGAACCGCTGGTTTGTTGGCACCCCGACTACTGAAAAATCCTCAAGAGGAGAGCCTGCGACCCAGACTTCTGCCAGATGCTTGGTCTTGAATGGTCGTGACACTGCCAGTAAATGGAAAGAACGGCCAAGCTTTAGCCAACCTTCGCAGCGAAGAGCCCCCGCTTAGATTTAGATTCATGGCGATAAGATCATACAGGCCTGGCCTGATCCGGAAGATGCATGCGCCATGTGTGCATACACAGTCAATGCCTGTAAGGTGCATAAACGACCGGGCGGCGGTGCAAAATCTGTCGCGCGAGTGTGATGCTTCTAGGTCCCTTGCAGTTGCAAGCTTGCACGTGTGCTAAGCTAATTTGCCGAAAAGGCTGCATGCGGAACATTTGGTGATGACACAACGTCACAGGCTAACGGCTAGCAGTCAAGCAAAACTGGAACTGGGTGGCGTGCTCCATTTGGAGGCCTTGGGCACAGAATCAACGCGTGCAGCCTACTGCAGAGAATCGACCTAGGACCTAGGCTTGAGGGCTCTCTCTCAAAAACACTAAGAACACACAATCTATGCCGCTTCTGGTGCCTCCAGTTTTCATGCTCACGCACGAGAACTCCCATAGTAGCCAATCCTTTAGGCAGGGGGTCGCCAAGTCTTGCAATAATACTTTGAAGAGGCACGTCTCGGGTGGACGCTCCATTGGGCCCTCAGCCGGCGAAGGTAGCACCGTTGTAACCCACATTCTGCCGTTCAAGGTCAAAGAAATTGACGTAGATCCGATTCGCGGGCACATCGAACTCCTTCAGCAGCTCTGATACCTTTTTGGTGAGCGCTCCATTATTCTCCTTGTTTATGGATCCCAACGAAATTACTTTGCACAGTGCGCACGGTGCATCGCTGCCGCCCCAGAGGATGTCTTGGTCATCCTGTACCGAAACCGCAACATAGCTTTCCGGCTTGCCAAGCGACTCGGCCACGGCCTTGGAAGCTGCCTTCATGAAGTCCATTTTTTGTCACCGAGCTTGATGTTCGTCTGGATGAAAAGGGAGGGATCAGTGGCACCATCCTCGATACATCCAAAGGGAGCCTTTGCCACCGAAGCCATTCCAACTCTGCAGCTTCTCGTGACCATCAATGGCAGCACACAGGCAGCAAGGCATCCACCCAGCAGGGCGCCGCTGATGCGTCCCCGTGCAAATACGCCTGCAGTCAGAGCTCCTGCTGCCATTGCTGGCTGCGACACCATCTGATGCGTAACACCGGCACCAGTCACGGGGGAAAGCCAAGTGGGCTCGGTGCTCAATAGGCTTACCAGCAAGCACGCTGCACCCAGGAGTAGGAAACGTGCACCACAGCTGGACGACATCCTTCTCTGCACGAGCATTGCCTGTCTCGAGTCAATAGGACAACACCTGCGAGGTCAGCGCCCAAGAGCAAGTCCTGCTTGGCCGCTTGATCCAAAACATGTGCATCTCAAGCACCTATAGCTAGTACCTGTAGCTCACTAACAACTTGAGTAACTTGAGGTCCTTGCTGTAACATGCCCGGTGACCATGCTGAGGCCGATGCGCAAAGAACACCGCCACAGGGGTTTCCAACGTATGGGGGATGTTTCCGTCCTGGCAGCACACATTTCGTTCGCCCCCATCCCCTCACCCTCGTCACGAGTGGGGCCGAGGCAAGCTTGCCCACGACCCACTCCGCTTGCTCAACATTTTTCATCCTCGGTCGGCTGCATGGGCTGCGCAGTGCCGCAAGAGGAGGCACGAAGATGGTGGCAGCTCAGGCCACGACTTTATTTCAACTGACAGGAGTCCCTCGAACCTGCAGGATCCAGGCACCAGCAACAACAGAATCCAAGCCGGTCGTCACGGAAAGGAGCGTTGTGCTGTCAGGACCAGTGCTCTTTGGCCCCGGCTGCTCCAAGATCCTCACTTGATGAACCTCTGCAAAATTTGATTTGGCCGTGCTGAATTCCGGCCAACAGAGTGTCAATGCATGCCGCGTGCCTGCCCATAATTGGTGAAGACTGTCTTTATGTTGTCTTCTGTCAGAGTTGCAGACAAGCCCTGCCACGCGGCAAAGTACAGCACTTTCGGCATGGCATGCTCATAATGCAGTCGCTGCCTGCACCACCATCGTGTCAGAAGGAGGATATTTTGGCCAATCGTCTGGGTATCCTCCGCCTGCAGGTGCCTTCAGTTGTCGCAGACCAGCCGAGAAAGGGCGACGCGCGGCGCTTGCGAGCGACGAGGTCGTGGCCATTCCTCCAGGGCCGCCATGGCCAGGACCGCCCAAGGGGCCTTCCTTGCCTTTGCCTCGGGCAAAGGCAGTGGTGCTATCAGGTTCTGAGGCAATTAGCCCTGCAGGGCTCGTGCCGTGTCCTTTCGTGTTGTTTGCAAACCGGACCGTGAGCCTCGGACTGTGCGGACATGTAAGGACGGGTACATTCTCAAGTTTAAACCCCATGCCTATGTAGTGCCCCAGGAGCCCTACACGCACTGCCCAAGCTGGTAGTTGTTGGTGGCTTGTATCGCTTTGGAAGCCTCTGCGAGAAACGGTTCCAGTCCCGTCCTGAAACGTCTCTCTCTCTTCAGCGGAGCCTCCTCCGAAGTCGTGAAGTTCACAAAGCCATATCGAGTGCCATTTTTTGTCCTTGGCTCAAGGGAGAATGAACCTTCACGACCTTGAATCATCGCATGTTCACTCGTCTATGCTTCCTGGGCCATGAGCTGATCTGACAGCTTTGTCGACGTGACCGCGCCAAAGCGGGAAAAGAAGTCCCTGACACGGCTTGGCTCGGTAGCCCCATGCTCATGCACGAATGCATGCCCTGCTCGAACTACATGTGATACGTGCTGGTTTCATAAAAACAGCCGTGCCTGAACTCTGGTTCAGAGCAGGCTTCTGGTATGCCCGCGACGTAAACCTGCATCGCTTGGTTCTGAGGCAGCCAAATCCGCCACAAGAAGCAAGTTCCTCGAAACGCAGACTTCCCAATCAAGCTTTGCGCTGAGCACCAAGCATTGCACTGGCCAGCCTGAGGCGCTGAGGAGCATTGCCACGTGCACATGACAAAGAGTGCCAATCCCAGGATGCAAGGCGTCGGAACTCTCAGCCCTGTTCCACCGGTGGTACTGGTGGTCCCTGTCCTCCTTGGGCCGGCTTTCCGTTTCAACACGCTTAGATAAGGAAGTCGGAAGACGTGCGCCAGCCGCCATACCGTCCCATGCTCAGCTCCGTGCCCTTGCCGTGAGGCCCGGCATTTCCAGGGTAAGGCCCTCACAACGACACAGGAGTCAGGCATGCTTACCGATTCCGGTCAAACTACACACCCAACACTCACACAGTCTTAGGCATTAACCGGCGTTGGCGGGAGCGCCTCCGCCGCCTGCTTGATGCCGAGACTCAGTCTGATGGGCATCCCCTAAGTCTAAGCTGCTTTTCTTTGACTGTTAACCGTGCCTTTGTAAGCCTCTAATGGCTCATTGCTCGTCAGGCGCAAGGTCAACGTGTTTCCGTCGATCCTGGTTGCAGGCAGCTGGGAGGGGTAACGATGCGACACCGACACCCACTGACACTGACTGCCAAGAAGCTGGTAGCCAGTGAGACCATCGACGGCATATCTGGCCTACGAATGGATGCCAGCCGGCGACTTACTCCAGACTGTCGTTCATGCACTCGGAACCAGGCCATCTCTGGGCTCTGATACTTCCTGGGCTGTGCGGCATGGCAGGTCATGCCTCACCATGGTGCCGCGCTCTTTGTGCACAAAAACACAAGGCCCGGGCACGAAGCCATAGGTCGGTGCACTCCCTTTTCGTGGTATCACCTCTACCCCGATGCAGGCACAAGCGGCGCCAACCCCAGCTGGTCCCCATCCTTGACCGACTCCACGGTGCCGTATGCTGCGAACAGCTGCCTGTGAGCGCAAACGTCACATTGATGGTACCCGTGCAACTCGCTGGCCAGGATTTGCCTCACGGTATCCTCATCCGCTGTATCGGGAAGGCCGGCAACGTGGAGATTACCTGGATGCTCTGGTTGTGTAAGATCGTCCCGAACATCAATGTATCTCCACAGGCTACAGAAGGTCAAGGTAATCCTGCGACAACATGTTGCGATTAACCCCAGTAGTCACAGCATTTCTGAGGATGGAGCAGCTTACTGCCATGCAGCAAAACCTTCACAAGATAGACTGCATTGAGCTGGACTCGCCGTCTTTTCCGGAAGCAAGCTTATCGACTTATTGCGGCTGCCTTGGTTCAACCCAACTATTTGTGTTTAAAATCGTGGGGGCTGGCTATGTATGGAATGGGGCGGGCAGTTGTCTCAGGTTGGGATGTTGTAGTGTAGTGCTTGGCGTGGTTGCCACATTGTCATTGTGGGGGTGATCAATCTATACCTCTTCAGCATCGCGACGACGGCACACTGACTCATCTCGAAGCCCATCCTTCATCCTGACTGTGACCGGCGCGGCGTGCTTGCACAAGCTTGTTGCAAGCAGGCCGGCGTCGTTACAAACCCCTGTCGCGAAGCAAGCCAAGTCAAGCATGTTGAACACCCGGGAAATGCCGCGGTAGTCCGCAGTAGTGACCATCCGTATAGCTGCCAGTACAGTGGGAGCTGACGGTACTTCAGGAGCTTGTGACAGACTGTGCAAGCCCAACTGCCTTAAACTTGGAGGGCTCCGCCGGGACCGCAACAGTTTTAACGACCATGCAGTGTTTGTCACCACCGACAGATGGGGGATCAGACCTCGAAGGTGAGGTGCAACTCAAAAAATCTGTACACCATTTGCAAAACCATCGCCGCAAAGCGACCGCGGCTTGCCCACGGTAGGGATCCAGATCCCCTCTGAAGGTGAATTCTCTGTACAAAGCACCTATGTCAAACCTCCAAACTGCGCTGCCCCTCAGCGACCGTAGAGTTCCTTCCTTACCGAACAGCCGGGACATGTACGTCTTGATTCCGCGAAGCAGTAGAAATGCATAGTTCCTCACCGTTGAAAATCCGTGCCGCTTCGCCTGACATGACTTTTCTGGCAAAGCGGCAGATTGTTGCACGCCCGATGGCCGTCAAACACGAGGCCGATGGTAGATCCTCACACAAAGTGACTGCTCTACCAGTACATCCTAGCCCCAAGTACATCCTAGCCCCAGCATGCCCCAGCTCAACGGAAAGTAGCTTCTGGCAGTGGCCGCCGATAGACTGAACTCTTGGGGGGGGCCTTCTCAGGTTTACGTCACGGGGAGATTGGGCTCGCTGCGGGTCTGAGGCCGGATTTGATCCAGAATTCAGAAAAGAGAACGTCCGCCACTCTGCAAAACACCCCGCTTGGCTAACTTGGCTGCTTTGTTTAACCCCCTCATACTGGAAGACAAGGCACAGTCGCGTCTGCATCTTCCAGTGGTCTCTGTTTGCGAAGTGATTCTTTTTTGAAAGCCTCCCTTGGCGACAGTGTCGGTGCTAGAACTGACATCGAAGCACAAAGATGGAATGACTACCCGACTACCCTCCCCAGGCCCAGGTCGCCGGGCCTTTGCGCATCACCGCGGGTGGCGGCTGCTGCGCGAGAGCGCTGCAGCAGCAGCGCTGCGAAATTCGAGTCTGGTTTGGCCATGCACGAATCCTTAGCGGCATGCATGAATACTCAGCTGGGTTGTCCGACAGTGTTGAGTCATCGGCGGAACGAGCATAGCCGGCCTGTTTGATGCTGGCTGTAGGGGGCCGATCTCGCGTCAAGGACAGTACGTCCAATGATGTTGCAAACGGAGAGTCCTCTCAGTTGATTGCAGTTTGGAGCAAGCAGCTCACTCTCCACTTCGACCTATGTTGCATGGTCTTCAGCTGTCCGGGGGGATGGTGGAGCTTGCTGCAGAGTTCTGACTACCGAACAGCCGCGTCCTGTGGATCACAAGCTGCCTCGCCAGATGGCTTCGATGGGACTGCAGGGCAAAGCACAAAGCATCGGAACTGGCTGAGGGCATCAACTAGCTGCACTAGCTCACTGATGCTACGAAGGTCACAGGGTGTTTCTCCGCATCCTTCCCTGAGGCTGCATGCTGGGGTAGCTTAAAGTCGACCACCTGAAGTCTCCTTAAAAGTCCCTTCCTTTTTGGATCTGCGATGCCCCGACCTGCCGGGGCAGCCGCTGCGGCCGAGGCTTGCGCCGAGGCTTGCGAGGCCGAGTTCTCTGAAAGAGCGGAGTTGATAGGCACGGGAATGCTGGAGCTCGCTAGGCCTGGAAGGCCGTCCTCCTCTTGCTTAGCTGGCACGGGAGTTAGATCGCTGACGTATCGCAGATCAGACAGCTCCACTTGGGGCGTAGGTTGGCTGAACCATGGGGTCGGCAAACTCTCGACGCGAGGCGGATCTGGCACAGGTATCGATGCAGGTGATGCCGGCAGAGCGACTGGCTCTTGTAGGTCTATGAATGGAGGCAGCGAGTCTGGCACAGACTCCACAATCTTCTCCACAGGAAGATCCCAGCAGAAAGGTGTTGGCTGGCTTTCTGGACGGTGTTGGCTCTCCGGAGCAGATGCTGTGGAATGTGCGCTGCTCTCCAGCTGAGAACCTGGCATCAACGAATTGCACGTCTGCGAACACACTGCACGCTTAAGGACAACACATGGCTCAACAGGGCCTTCGGCATCCCCTTCACCCACTTCATGCTTGAAGACCGGCTGTTGAGCACTGTACGCTTCGACGTTGGGAGCTGGTGGCTTGACCACGGCAGCAACGGCTGTAGCATCGTGTCCCAAGTTCAGCAGTCGACTGCTGTCCGCACTTGCAAATCCACCTGGGCAGCATCCGGAAGACTGCAGGATTTGTTCATGACGGCTCTCTTTGGACATCGGTAGACACGGCTTCACTGCCAGCTTCTCCGCCTGGATTCGGATTCCTGGCAACTTTGCTCTGGTCGCGGCCAGGGCATGTGACCATCCTTCCCTGGGAGCCTGCCCAGTGCAACCACAACTCTAACAACAGCTTGGGGTGTTGGTGGGACGAGAACTGGTGCCACCTGTCTTATTGCAGGCATCCCGCCTCCTGGGCACTTCTGCCGAATGCCCGAAGTTGCATTGGCTTGCCGATGTGCTTGGCAGCAGCAACCGCAACAGCCAAAGAAGCCGTTGAATCCTGCCCCAACTATCACACAAGCAAACGGCCGCTTTGCTGTCGAAGTTGTTGCTGCAAGGGTGTTAATATCCTTGCCGTGTGCTGCACTTGCGATGCTGTGCTGTCAAGCCTATATCCGAATTCTCTGCTTGTCGTCCACGTGGTGCTTCATCCAGGTCAGTGGCTGCTTGCCTCCAAGACCGGAACGGTCGTATGCAACAAAATGCTGAAGCCATGCAGAATGCATGAGCAGCCCGTCTGCAGCCTCACTCTTGCTTGCAGGGTCTCCGGCTGTGAAGCCGGCAGGGAAGCTTGCGATCCCACCAGGCCCTGTGAGCGGATGCTCCGCACTTCCTTGTGCGGCAAAGAATAGGCCTGCACATCACGAGCCAGGAGGGGCAAACCATCTGCGAAGTTCGTGGCTCCGTGACACGACGCGTCACCAACGCCTGCGGGTCATCCAAGATGAGCTTCAGGTCTGTAGGCTGCAGAAATGCCTTGGCAACACCGCAAAGAGACGAGTTTTCATCACCGTTCTCCCCAAGCCTGTCCGCTGCGGTTCTTGGAGTTGGAACTCTGGAGCTTCCTTGTTCGCGACTCCACTTTCAACTCAGGCTTCTGTGAACTGATACATGCCCTTGTTTGACGGACTTTGCGCCCAGGCTCCACTTGCTGGTTGGGGAGGTTGGGGACTCCTCCATGCGGGGACGCTTCGCCGGATGAAGCGTTTCGGGCACGAGGTGCCTTGCAGCAACACAGAGGTCTAGCAAACGTTCCGCTCCGAAACTTGGCGCTCCCTTCCATTGCGGCTTAGTGACGCTTGATGCGCCTGGCCAGAATCAACCGTGAACACACGTGAAACGTCATGTCCAATTTGGCAACACAAGTCAGTCTCACTTTGCGCAGGGCTTGTGACTTTGACTGCCCGCGACTTGCGACGGCACGAGGATCTGATTCTTTCGACTCGTGCAGGGACTCCTTTGTTCCTCGCAAGACTCGCAAGTAACAATCAGGATGCTATTCGTCCTACGTTGCCGCGGCAAGAACGTTTTTGGTGTGAGCCCGTTTCATGCCTGCGATGCCTTGGCTGAAGCTCTTTTGCGGAGGAGAGCTTGTGAGGACTCGTCCTCCCAGTTTTGCATAGCACCTTGGTTGCGTGGCATCGTTTCATCAGCCATACTTTGGGCCACCATGCAAGAGGACGCACTGCAGGCTCCTTCAGGCCCCTGCTGGTTCCTGAACTCGCGGACCCGGTCCTGCCACATGGCCGTGCAAGCTCCCAGCTAGCAGCACAGCAGCTCAAAGCTGTCGTGTCCTTCGTCCAGCCTTGCTCAAACTTGACGTAGCATGATCTTGCAATGACCGCCTTAGGGAATCCCACAAGTCAGCGATGTAATGCTTCCAATGGCCGGTCTCAGCGACAAGCAACTACTGGCCGTAGCTTCTGGCAGATTTTCATTGGCGAAGGAAGCGACGGTGAAGCCAAGAAGCTGTGCTTCCGACCCCTCTTGTCTGCAGCTTGGTTGCAGCTGCCGTTGCGGAGCCACCAGCTGCGGGTACTGTTGTCTGAAAATGGATGCTTTGCCCAGCTGCCTGCCAGCGAAAGCAGAAAGCTTTCTTGCCAGCTGCATACTTGACCTTGGCGCGCTTCATGTCACGAGCTACCGCTGAAAGTGGAAATCAGGATAGGTATCTTCAGCAGCAAAGCACCCCCCCCCACCCACCCACCCACCCACCCACCCACCCACCCACCCACCCACCCACCCACAAAAACACAAACACACACACACAGACAGACAGGCAC